GGATCTGAACAAAAGGACTAGCCCTATGTTCTCTCTCCTGCCTGTCAAAGTCTGGACTCAGAGCTTCCCCAGGGGGTGAGCCAGTGGGCCAGGCCTCCAAGTGCCCGCCCAGGAGCCTTTGGGCACTGCCTTCCAAGTTGCCCCCTTGTTTTCCCATTCCCCTGACCATCTCAGCAGTCCACTGCTCCTTTCTCCAATATGGTTCCCTTCTTATCCTTCTCTGTTCTTACTTCAGCTGTTTTCCCACAGTCACAACTTTCCTTTAGTCCAGGATTTCTAAGCCTCAGCACTATTGGCTTTCGGGGGCCAAATAATTCTTTGTGGTGAGGGGCCCTCCTGTGCACTGTAGGAAGTTTAGCAGCATCTCTGGCCCATTCTACTACACGTCAAATAACACCTCCACCCCGCCCCCAACCGCCTCCCTAATTATGACAACCAAAAATGTCTCCAGATACTTTCAAATGTCCCCTGGGGGCAAAATTGCCCTATTGAGAAGCACTGCTCTAGTCCTTTCCCCTTTGACTTGAAGCTTTCAATTGTTAAATATTCACCATGTGGAAGACACTAGGTTAAGTCCTTCATTTGTTTATGTAGGTGTTTCTCAATTTTTAATTTACCTAAGAATCAACCTTGGGAGTTTCTTAAAACACACATTCTGGTTCAGTAGTTTGGGGGAAGGGTTTGAGATCCTGTATTTCTAATGAGTTCCCAGATATTGCTGTTGCTGCTGGCCCATTTTGAGTAGCAAGGCTCTATGTAAGTCACTGTGTCCTTGTGGCCGGATGAGGGCTGAGTTTTACAGATGAGGAAGCTAAGGCTGAGAGGGCACGTAGGTAGCTCAATCACATTTTCAACTCAGGCTTGCCTACGTGCAAAGCTTCTACTCGTAACCAGCAATCTCAGCTGATGTTGGGCAAAGGTCCTTGAGTTCTCTCCTTAGCCTCCTTTCCCAAGTAACTGTGTTATATGCTCAGCCAAGCCTGAGACTTAGGCACGTGTTTGCCTGGAAAGTCCATATTAAATCAATCCTTCCTTACACGGAATGAGCTGCTCATGACCCCAGGTGGATACCCTGGAGCCTACTGAGCTATGTCTATGACCTCATGCCTCTGTTCTAGCCTGCCTGTAACAGCACATCCCTCATGCCTATCAGTACACAGTCATCTAGGGTTCCAGCTGCCCTGGGGGTTCGTCCACATTCCCTCTCAGCTTCCTGCCTCGCCTGGCTGGTGTTTCCAGCCCTCTCCTGCTTCCTCTCATCTGTCGCCCCAGCACTCTTACTTTGTCTTCTCTTCTGTCTCATCAGTGCCTCTCGGCATCTTCTTCCCGTAGTAGTTAGGGATTTTGAGTAATGCCTTAGATCCTGAAGGAAAAAAAAAAGTGTGTGATGTGGGCCCCTCCCTGGGACTAGAGGGCAAGACTCAGATCCTCCAGGAGCAAAGGACTCAAGCTTGGTCCTTGTAGAGGCGGTGGCAGCAGGCCAGGCTGCTGGCCCGGGAGGACAGCAAGTATTTTGTCTGCTTAAGGAAACAAACAATATTGTGTATGGCAGAGAGACTGAGAAGGGTCTGCCAACTGGAGAGGTTAGGAAGGGCTAGTCCTCCCAATGTCGTGCCCTGTTCTTCCTTCTGCACTGAACTGGAGAAAGTTATCCTGACCCTCACAGCACATTCCTACTCCCATGTCTCTTGCCTGGACCCCGGTTTAAGGAGACTCTTAGGATGGTTGTGCAGGAAGGTAACTTAGAGCAGGGCTCAGCAACCTGTCCTTATAAAGGGTCAGGGGGTAGGTATTTTAGGCCTTGTGGGCTGCACAGTCTCAGCCACAGCTACTCATCTCTGTTACTGAAGCACAAAAGCAGCATAGACAACATGTAAGCAAATGGGCATGATTGTGTCCCAATAAAACTTTATTTACAGACACTGAAATTTGTATTTCACAAACTTTTCACACGTTACAAAATATTGTTGTTCTTTTGATTTTTTTTTTTTTTTTTAGTCATTAAAAAGTGTAAAAACCATTTTTAGGTCAAGGGGCTAAGCCATTCTTGCTTATTCTTGGCCTGGACTTTGTCAATTCAGGGTCTAGTGTTTCCCGAAATGTTTCTGAGGGGCATGGTCTCATGGGAAATGCTGGGTTAAACAAAGCTAAGCACATGTCCCCGCCCTGCTGTGACGGGATTGTCGGAGCCTTTAATATTCTCAGGAGCAGTATGTGCTTCCCAGCAGGGCTGGCACAGGCCAGGCTTCTCTGATTTACTGACTGAAATTTTGTTTCATGGAGTGTCTTGCAGACAAGCATCCCTCAGGACTAGGTTCTGTGGGCTACGCTTAGGGAACACTGCTCCCGTGTATCCCTCATTTTGCACATGGACACACGTGACTGGGGTCCTTCCTGACATGCCACATTGCTGCGTAACCTGGGTGATCCCAGGCAAAGCGGCACAGCCAAGGCCAGCCCACAGGACACTGGGACCCCAGCTTTCCAGACCGGGCCATGCACAAACATGAACCTAAGAGTGGGGGGCAGATGAGTATTTTAGCTGAGTGATTATAACCTTGGTGACTGAGTATCAGGAAACACTCCTAAATTTCCTACATTTCCTGTTCCTGACCGATGAAAGAAGTACTTACGGGCTATCCTTAGCCTCTGGGTTACTGTCCCATCATGAACAGGGCATAATTACTGAGTGATTTGGGCAGTAAGGAGAGTGGTGTACTCTGCACAGTAATAGCGCATGTGTATAGAGTTTACAAAAGCACCTCTGTCCTTTGCGTTTAACACCTGCCTCTGGGGGAGGGAGGGCAGATTTTTTTTTTCTTTGTTTAAATTTTATTGATACAGAAACTGAGGCTCAGGGTACCTAGGAGACTTGCCCTTGGTTGCATAATCCAGTGGCAAAGCCAAAACTCAGATCCAGGTCTTATTTCACCTCAGGGGCTGCTTTCTCCATTGCCCCATCACCTTAAAGTGAAGGGTGACTAGGCAATGAAGTAATTCTGTAGGAGAGCATGACCAATTTCCCTTTCTTCACCCCCCTTCTTCCTCTGCCCCTTCCCCCAGCCCCCATATATATGAATCTCCACAAAGCCTTACTGTGGCCTGCACACATTTACTTTTGAAATTATTTCCACAGCTGGGACAGGAACTTTCTGCCCACAGTTACACCCCGATTGGTGAGCGGTGAGGGTGCCTGCCCAACTTCCCCTCTGTAACAGGAGCCGGCCACCTCCAGAGAGTAAACCTCAAGCATCACTTCCAGGCCCTGAGGTGAGTGAGGAGGGAATCCCTGAGCACTTTGCTTTGAAGCAAAAGACCGCTGTCTCATTGGGAATGGGGTTGAGGAGGTGGCAGAAATCAACTTTTTCATTGTGTATGTAAAGATAAGATGTAAATGTGGATGAGGGGCTGCGTTCTCTGATTTAACACCAGGAAGGATTTAGTCTGGTTGGGAGAAAGTGCAGAGGGACGGTGAGGCCCAGAGATGAATTCTCAAGAGAGGCTGCAAAGCCTGTGGAGTTCGAAAGAAGAGAATGGAAGGACCTTGTGGGAGACAGTGAAGCTCAGATGGGCATCGTGGAGGATACTGGGTGCTGGTACTGGGTCCCACTTCTCTGCCCATATGTTGGCAGTCATTCCAGAGACAGGTCTTCTCCCATCTTCCTTCCTAGTGTAGGGGTGGAAGCCTGAGGAGACCAGTGCCTGGAATAAGAAAGGTTCTTAAATGGTTGTGGAAGGAAGTAAGACAGAAAGGGAGAGAGGAAGAATTGGAGGGAGGAAAGGAAAGAAGAAAAGCAAAAACAAAAAAGGCAGGGAGAAGGAATTCACTGCATACAGTTATGATAAATAGAAAATGGGTCACCTTCTGCTAGCTGGAGGCCTTTACACATAGTCATTTCCAATTAGCATCTTCGTGGAAGTCTTTAAAGGTGATTCATCCAGAAATGTGATTCCTCCCTCTTGTTCAGTTACCTCAAAAGTTAATTCTTAGAGTCAAAAGTGAGTTGTCAGTTGAGGCGGCAGAGAGTGTGTGACCCTAACCTACCGTCTGTGCCCCTCCCTCTGGGCCAGGATCAATCCCTCAGATCCCTTGTGATGAGAAGTCAGAGATGGCCTTCTCCTGGGGGAGGAGAAGAAGACCTGTCCCGTGTGCCTGGTAGGGCAGACCTCAGACAAGCGAAGGTCTAGTGAAGCACTATCCTCCCGAGTTTGGGCTCCCTCTACATGTTCTTTGGCACACTGTGACCCCCCATTTCTCCACTCTTCTTGGTGAAATTCTGACTAGCAGGTTGTTGGCTAGAGAGAACTATAATGGAGTAAGAAAGGCCGTGCCGGGTGTGTGTGATGTGGATGGTCGTGGTGGGGTGGGCAGACAGTGAGACAGCGACACCAGCGGATATGAGAAGGGCAGAAAGACCCTCGCCCCACCCCAGCGCACTGCAGCAGGGCCGCGTATTTGTCATATTCTCACACTGAGAACCCAGCCTCGTCTCAGGTTTCCCGTCTTTGTCTCCCAAGGCTGGCCAAGGCAGAGACAGAGGCATTATTTTGGGTATAGCCCTCCTGGTAGAGGGCCTGCTTCAGCTGGCTGTCTCCCTTTCTTCCAGCAGGGTCCTCCTGGTCCTTCCTTTGCTGCAGATGGTTTCTCCCGTGCAGAAGGCTGCCCTCCCCTGCCTGAGTCTCATCCTGCTTGTCTGGAGCCAGGGGCCAGGGGTCCAGAGCCAAAAATTCCAATTTGGGGCCTGCCAAGTGGAGGGGGTAGTTTTCCAGGAACTGTGGGAGGCTTTTCGGACTGTGAAGGACATTGTGGTGAGTGAAGTGATGCTCTGGACCCAGCTGTGGGGGTTACTGTGGGGGTAGGATAATATTTTATGATTATGAAGCCCTTTGTAGCTTGCTAATCATTTTCCTATATAAGAATTTTGTGACGTCAGAGGCATCACAAGCCCATATTTCCTCTTGCATACGAGGAAACTGAGATTCAGAAAGATGTGGTCAGTCTACAGGAAAATTAACACAGCCCAAGAGAAATAAAGAAGACAGCGCATTCATCTGGGCTTTATCTGTGTCTCAGGGGGATGTGAGACTCCGCTAAAGGGAAGTCATGGGAAATTCTTTGAGAGCTGCCTACTGGTCTACTTAGTCTACTAAGTAGACTACTGCTCCTCTTAGTCTGTTTCCACCTGTTTCCACCTTGGCTTCAAAGTAGAAAGAATGGTTAATGCTGAGGTGGGATGGGGCAGCTTGTGAAACGGGACTGTGGATTTCTCCTGAGCCTGATGGTGCTCCAACATGTGCCCTCACAAATGCACTCAGCTCCTTAAAGGACAATCCACGTGCAAAGCAGGAAAGAGGGAGCTCATGAGATGGCCTGTGGAGGGGGAGTGACCTCTGGGGACAGGACACCAATGTGTGATCTTGACCTTGAAACCAACTGGTACAGCACCTCCCCCATCCCCATCAGTTTCCTTATTTGCACATTGTGGAGGGGGGACAAAGGAGCTCAAAATCTCCTTTCTCTCAGTGATTCTTGGACTCTAAATCCAAGAACTGGAATGAATGGCTGGGCTGCAGGGGAAGCTTCAAACACAAGAGAGGCAGCACCTGCACCCCCACCCCCATGAAATAAGGAAGTACATTCCTGCTCCTAGGAGCTCTTAAGCCTATAAATAGGCTTATTTCCTCCTGTCTCAAATGACCAAACAGGTCCTTGATCAAGGCTCTAAGAACTCCTGCGACTCCATCTGTCCCTGGGGGATAAATGTGTGGCTGGAACCTACATCTCCACCCCAAGGGCCAGCTCAGCCCAACCTTTCCTGGGTACCCCCTCTGGTCTCTGAGATCTCACAGACTGGATCGATTTAGGGTTCTGGGGAAGCAGCATGTATTTTCAAGGTTGGTTTCTATGGCTCCCCCTAACCTGGAGACATCTTTTCTTTCTGTTTCCAAAGCAAGCTCAGGATAACATCACAAGCGTCCGGCTGCTGCGGAGGGAGGTTCTGCAGAACATCTCGGTAATCAGACTTCTGAGAGGGCAATGCCTCCCTCCATGTGGCTGGTCTGTGGGTGGTGGGGGTGAGGGGTTGTCTGGGGAGGCTGACAAAAGGCTTCACTTCTGCCTTGGTCTGGGCCTACACAGGACAGGGCTGGGCAGCGAGCCAGAGAAATCAATGCATGGGGTCATCACACAGGATCTGGGCTACGTGGGCAGTGTGTGTGGTGGCACAGGGAGGGGTTGGAGAGTAGGGCTCATACACATCTGTCCCCACTTAGCCAGAGAGGCCATCAATCTGGGTTTCTCTTTTGCTGTGTAGGCCCAATAGGCATCTGCTTGGGTCTCTTCCATTTCCATCCTTTTTTTTCTCACCCATTCCTGTCTGCTCAGCATCCATCTAGTCAGTCAGTGAGCACACATATACTGAGCTCTGATCTGAAGACGCTGAGCGTCACTCTGTGGTGCTTGAGGGGGCTAGAATGCAATCCCTGTGTTAAGGATTTTTTTTTTCTCCTCATTTCTTCTTTCTAGTTCTTTTCCCCACCAACTGTCAACCACCAACTTATGAGCGCTCTTCAGGGTGCGTCTCCCATGGCTATTAGAGAGGTCATGGGGTGTAGAAGGAAGAATATTAAGCAGATGGGGAGTCAGGAGTCCTAGGCACTAGGCCTGTGTCTGCCACTGACTGGCTGTGTGACGCTGGGCAAGTCCTCTTCTCTCGGTCTGTGGTTCCTCCTGTAAACCAAAGGTGCTGCTCTCCATGCTCCCTGATGCTCCTTTAGATCTACTGTTTATCGACATCTCCTAGACGACCCCTGACTCTGCTGTGCTTCTCTTGCTTTGGCGACAGTGGGTTGCTCATCCAGGGCTGGGGTGGGCAGACACCTTGGCTCCCAGGTGACCCAGACCCTCCCCAGGATGCCGAAAGCTGTTACTTCATCCGTGCCCTGCTGAAGTTCTACTTGAATACCGTTTTCAAAAGCTACTATGAGAAGGCAGCTGAATTCAGGATCCTAAAGTCATTCTCTACTCTGGCCAATAATTTTATTGTCATCGTGTCAAAACTGCAACCCAGAGTGAGTAGAACAAAGCTGGGACTGGGACCCATGGGAAATGGTGTGTTTTGAGAGGACTCTCCTCCTCTTTTCTGATCCTGGCTTTTATGTCACAAGAGGGAGTTGTGGGTTGCATGGAAAAGAGCATAGACTCTGGACACCAGCAGTTCTGGGTTCAAGTCCAGCTCTCTTCTAATCAGCCGGTTGATTCTTTACACGGTGCTCAAACTTTCTGGGATTCAGAACTCCTACATATGTATAAAATGAGATGATCACCCCTGCCTGGAAAGGCCGCTGTGAGAATCAGCAACTGCCTCCGCCACACAGTGGGAGTTCAGCGCTGGCTACCTTGAGGCTCTGGATTCAGGGCTTAGGCCTTGGGAACCCCTCTGGCATCACTAGGAAGGAGTCGGAGGGGGCTTGCCTCTGCTCCTCCCCAACGCTTGGTACATTTTTTTTTCGGTTATCCAACAGGAAAATGAGATGTTTTCCATCAGTGAGAATGCACGCAGGCAGTTTCTGCTGTACCAGAGGGCATTTAAACAGGTAATCAACGCTGGGAGTGGAGGGCTTGCCTGAATGGTCATAGGAGGATGCCTCAGAGACCTAATGCAAAATGCAGTGCAGGTGACTCCACCAGCCTTGCCCAAAAGCCACTTGAGTTAGCAGGAGCACAGGTATTTTTACATGAATTAGCATATACTTTGCACAAGTACCACAAACTACTTGGTCTATTTTCCGGCCAGTTTTCAAATTACAATGCTATTATATTTCCCTATAAGAAGATTTCACTACAGGGACTTTCCCTGTGAGAGAGCTTGTGGGTACTTGAGTTGGGGAACTGGAGTCAGAAGAGAGATTGCCCCCGTAATACTCCCATCTCATACAAATCCCCATACATCGTATTTCCATAATGTTCAAATGATCTAGTTTGTGAGAATGAAATCATGGGAAATATATTATCTTCTCACAACTTAAGACAACAAAGAAAACCCAAATTTCATTTTCAACCCCCTTCCCAAAACATATGATTTTGGTCACTTTTTTAAGGAATAGATACATCAGCCTAAAAATAAATGAAGAGCAATAACATACAAAGAGAAGTGGCCACCTGGGCCTCAGTTTCCTCATCTGCTTAGTGGACTCTGGGGGTGGACCAGGTCCACCCGCACGTGGATTCTACGGTTCTTGATGTCAGGGGCTCCAGATGCATTGCCTTTGCTCCTGACTCACTGCTACCCACTGGCCCATTTTCACCACTGAAGCAGAAAACACACATAGATGGGGGACAAGTGATGGGTGGATGAGTTCATCAGAGGCCATCCCAAAGGTGACGCCGCTCATGATGAGGGGTCAGGTCAGCCCCAGAAGGGTGGGTGGGAAAGAAACCTATGCTTGAGGCTAACATGGCAGACCTTCACCTCCACTTTCCTTTTAGCTGAACATAGAAGCAGCTCGGATCAAAGCCTTTGGAGAAGTGGACATCCTCTTGACCTGGATGCAGAAATTCTACCAGCACTGAATGCCTAGACCAGAATACCCTCCTAGTTCTCCATGTCATTTCAAAAGAGTGTCCCCTCCTGTGATGTTCTTTGGTCACTTCACGGCCTTGACCACGGGTCCTGTTCTTGGTCCCGGCTTATCTTCAAAGACTTCATTCTTTAAGTGTCCCCAATAGTCATGGAAGGTTCCCTTGGATGCTGTGAATAATCTACAAAGCAGATTCCCATATTTATTACAACTATTTAAATCCTGTCCGTGTTTTTGCTGATGTCATATTTATTTGTGAGACTAAGTTCTGTAAAGGCGGCAGGGACAGTGCCCCATGCTGCTCTTTGATTCTCCAGGATCCTTGGAACCACGTGGGTCAGTGGATGGTGCTCAGTAAATGCTTAATAAACTGTTTTTTTTGTTTGTTTGTTTTTGCCTATCTTTCAATGTTGAAGAAAAATGAGGGATGCTGGGATATGAAGTTGAACATCAGGACATGAAAATCATATTGTTATCTTATCTTCAGAAACAGAACATTGGGGTAGGGGTGAGGGACACTGGTTTGGAATGTAAATGATAAAAGATACAAAGTGTTAAGTGCCCAACACAAAGCAGGTTCACTAAACATTTCAGCTCTTGCCCACACTCCACACCCCACTCCCATCATCCCTTCCCCTTGGGTGCCCTCCCTCCTTTCTCCCTACTCATTCTTCCCTTATCTGCAGCTTGAGAAGGTGCCAGTGTCAAGTTGATATTGCTGATGGTGTCATTTGTACTTGGATGGACTCTCCAATCTGTGATGTTATTCCCTGCTAAATCAAAGGCAGAGAACTCAAGTCTGGTAGCCTTTCCTTTCTATCTCTGGACAAGTGCCCAGCGAAGCTGAGCTGTGTGTCTGGGAAAGGCCTCCTTCCTTACAGCAAGGCTGGGCATTCTCTAGTCTCAAGCTCTGGCTGAGCTTTGCAGTTGGCTTCAATCTAAAGATACAATGTCTGCCTATGCCCTTGCTCAGAAAACTTAAGAGAAAGAGCATATGGAGGAGGTAGGACGTCTCTTCTTCCATGACATGAGTGCTATTGCAGAGCACCTGGCCCTCTAGGAATCCCAGGCCACTTTCCTTTCCTACCTTGCTATAATTACTGGGAACTGGCAAAGAGGTGCATTTTTGAAAGCAGAGAGATGTAATGGTTTTGGATGGCTAAAATAGACCAACATTAAGATAAGTGCACACATATCAGTGCTAGGCAATGGAAGGAGGATAAAGAGATGACAAAAACTATTTCCAAAGGAAAGGAAAATGCTGGGGTCAGGGTCCTTATGTACATCAAGGGAGGGACACTTAAAGAGGGTTTGGAGATATAAGGAGATATATATGGTGCTGAAAATTTAGAATCCTTCACCACATCAAAATAAATTGCTCTTACCATAGGACTCAAGATGAGTACAGCTTACTAGTAAGTGCCAGCCTTCAGGTCAGGGCAAAGACATTCACAGGAGCGTTTCATACCCGGCCCCTTCCTGGTCCACAAGGCTGAGGCATGTCCTCACGATGCAGTCCAGGGGCCTTCTATTGGTGTGAGGCCCAAGCCTGGGAAGGGTTCCAGAAGCAACAGCTATGCCTACACTCCAACCTAATGCTACATGGTCTAGAGCCAAGGAATCTAGAATCCTTGTGATCAAAGACAGTCTGCAAATCCCACAGCCTGTTACATGTTACTTGGAAAGGAAGCAGGTGACATCGAAACAAATGCTCTGCATGACTAGAGCCCACTTGAAAGCCACAACGGGTTGCAAAGCTGTGCAAGAAGGGCTGTAGGGGATTGAGCTATGCTCAGGGCAAACAGACAGGGATGAGACTTGAGGTGGGATGTGGGAGGTAATGAGGGCTCAAAAACCGATGGAGCAGGTGTTGGAAAGCAGCAGACAGACAAGGCTCATTGGCACCATGGTCTGGGCCCAGGGGGCCTGCTGGAGGGGTGAGTCGGGTAGGAGATATTGATGTAATCTGAATCAGTATCCTCCGTCTTGGCAGCAGGCTTGTGGTAGAAGCTCATATATTCACAGCTGGTCTTCAGAGACAAGGCATGGGGCCAGGGAGCTTCAGACACCTGGGAACAACCAAAGAAGCATCACTGAACCTGGTAGGGTGATTTTAGTATCTCTCCAGGTGGATTTCCACAGTGGGTAAGGGGTGGGGGCATAGGAACGATTGCTGATTTCTAGAAGGCAAAGACACCAGTGGCTGAGCTCCATTAAGTAGCTCATCCCTGGGGATTTTCAGGGTGGCACCTCACCCTAGATAACTGAAAAACACTTAAATCTAACATGGGCAGGAAATGCCTTAAATGGGGCTCAGATTAAAATCAGGTAGTTAAGCATCAGCCTGAAGGAGACCCAGCTGCTGGAGGAGTCTCCCTTCTGGGATTAGATAATGTGACTTGTGGAATAAATATGCATCTTCTTAGGGAATGATTCAGAAGCAGGGTGAGTCAATCCACGCACCACTGTAAGGTCTTGGAGAGTCTGTGATGTGGCAATGATGGTGCATTCCAGGAAGGGGTTGGGTGGCGAAGGGGAGGGAGGCAACAGGCCATGTGCACAGAGTGGTGCTCCTCTTCCCCAGAGGGAAACTTCAGAATCATCTGCCTTCAGGATGGGTCAGTTTTCGGGGCACGGGGTTGAGCCATGACCCCAACATGGCACAACTATTGTAACATCCACCCAAGAAGGCTATGGTGGATACCATCACATATTTAAACACAAGTGCCGAGAACTGCAAGTCCAGCCCCCTGAACACAGCAAGTACTCAGTAAATGCTCATTGAAAGGACCTGTTACTTTTTGTACTTATCTCCCATTGCCTGTTCACCATTTGAGATTAATTTATTTGGCTTCAAAAATTAAATATTCCCTGTGAAGTCTAAACTATTCAGTCATTTAATCATATGCACCTTGTTGTGAGTGAACTTGTTCCATCAAGATTTTTGTCCCTGATGGTGGAAATGAGTTTCAAGTAGAGAGAAAGGGTAAGATCTGAGTAAGCTACAGGCCCAGGTGAGGATGTGTGTGGTCACAGGACAGTTCAAGAGAAAAGGGCATGTGTAAGAGGAGAGCGGGTAGAGCGGGTGGGCACTGCTGGACCTACCTAACCTACTGTGAACCCTCTCTAGCAGGGGTGAGTGAGGGCAAGCTCAGGAACCTGGAGGTGACTGTGGCTGAACGGTCACTTGTTACTGGGCATCATTCTCTCCTTTTTAACAAAGCACATGAGTGCCCAGCCAGGTAGCACATTTCTCAGCCGCCCTTGAAGGTAGGTGTGGCCACATGACTATATTGTGGCCAATGGGATGTGAAAGGAAGTAATGTGTGAACCTTCAGAATCATAGTCTGAAAGAAGCAGCTTTCTCTTTCTCCCTCTATGGGCTGGAATGTGGACATGGAGCCGGATACTGAGCATTGACCATGGACCAGGCGGCTCCAGAGGATGGTGGAGCGACAAGACGGAAGACATTTGAGTCCCTGGGTGACTTTGTGTCTCAGGCCACTTCTTTCTGTCCCTTTGCCTTTACTTGGGAAGAAATCAGGAATTCATCTTGCGAGCTCTGTGGTTTAGGGTCTGTTGCATTAGCTCAGTTTACACCCTGATTAAAAAGAGGGACACTGGCCACACTTAGTTTTTCTTGGTTCCTGAGGAAATAGTGTTTTAGCTACCGTGGGCTATTTTAGAGAATAAAATCTTTTATCTTTTTAATTTGGGAAAACAAAGGTGAGTGGGTAGCTTAAAGGCCTCCTGCCAATGGCCATCGATAGAAACACAAATTCCCTACGTGCATTTCTAGATTTCAAGAGGAACCCTCCTCACCCCAGCTGTTGACTCCTCTCTACATCTTAACATCTCCAGGTCATCCTTTAGGCCAGGCTTAGCTGGCTCCAGGGATGGGTAAGCTACCTCCTCGCAGAGATTTCTAGAAAGTTCTCCCTCATATTCAGTTGAATAAGAATAAGACCTCCCCCTTAGGACTTCCTAGAAATTAAATCTCTACTCCGTGAAAGTCCTTCACATATTTGGAGAGTTACCACCTATCAGCCTCTACGAAGCACCCATTTGTCCCATGAGAATGCTTGGCTAAAAGCCAGAAAACTAAATCGACCACGCTGTTGGGTAGTCGGTCTACTCACACCATCAAAGGAAGAAACTGATACAACTTGTTACCGACTCCGCCCAGTTACCGATGGCGAAGCCGATGCCCCAGAGCTACGCGCGGCTCGCGTAACCGCGTTCGGTCCACGCCCAAGTCTGGGTCACCCAGCCGGGCCGCCGCGACCTATCCCGAGCGGAGCGGAGCTTACCTGCGGCGGAGCGGGCGGCGCTGACGCTTGGGGGCCTGGGACAGGTGCCGCCCCTTCACCTAGGGAAACCGTGAGGCGAGGGTGAGGGCGTGGCCGGCAGCCTGGCCCCACCCCCGGCCCTGCCCGAAGCCCTGGGGAGGAGGAGCGGTCCCTGCAGCCCCTGGCTCTCCTTTAAGCGCCGCGCCCTGGGCTCTCGGTGCAACCTCGGCGACCGCGCTGCTTCTGTGGCTCCAGCTCTCCTGTCTGACTCCTCGGCCCCGCCGCCCCGCCACCCCGCGCTCACGAACCCCCGCTCCCTCGTGTCTCCCTGTCTCACCTGTTCCCCCCGCTTCCCTGTACCCCCTCCTCACTTGTATCCACTCCGCTCACCCCTACCCCTCTTCGCGCGCCCGCCGGCTCACCCATCGCCCCTGCTCACCTTCAGCTTGCGCCCACCCAGAGCGCCGAGGACAGGCACTGTAGACGTTGTTTTGGGAGCGGGGCCGCTGCGACACGCGGGGCCGCTGCGACACGCGGGGCCGCTGGGAGGCCTCCAGGGCGTTCATCCTCACGGCCAGTCGGCGTACCCGCCTGGAGAGAGCTTCTCGGCAAAAGCCACAGGGAAAGAGGACAACCGCATCAGAGGACCATGACCACCCTCTCCCCGCCCTCGAGTCTTAGGAAACTACAGTCTGCCTTTCTCCCCTGGGCTCGGTACTGTCTCACGTGTCGATGCTCAGAATGTAGGAGGCACAGCCTTGCCCTCCACGGAAGACCAAAGGGCCCAGGCCGCTCTCCTCCTCGTCCCCATTTCCAGACCATCCATCCCCTTCCCTCTCCCCCACACCCCAGGCCGCTCCTCTGAAGCTCCGGAAGTTTCCGGAGAGATCCAGCGGGTGTCTGAATGCTCTGGGCTCTTGGTGTCACTCAGATCCCCCTAACCGAGCCTGAGTCGCTCACCCTTCCTCCTTTGAATGACCCTTTTCACCACCAGCCCCAGCAGTGCCAGCAGGATGAGGCCCAGGATGGTGGGGATCAGGATGTGAAATCCTTGGTCTTCCAGCTGGGACGCTGAGACGTGGTTGAAGGCTCTGAGGGGGGAAGGAGAGGGAGACAGGAGGAAGAAGTCAGGACGGGAGGGAGGTTTAAGGAAGCACCCTGGAGTGGCCAACTTTTTGGGGATAGCTGACAGTTTGTCCCTTTGTTAACAGAATTCTCGCCTCTCCCAACAAACAGCCTTGTTTCTGGAGTCAGGGAATCTGAGTTCAAACGCAGATTCAGCTTTTTACTGGCTGTGTGGTTTTGAACCAGTCTCCTAACTTCTCTGAGCCCCATTTCTCAGTAAATGGGTCTAGTAAACCCTCTTTCACAGAACTGTTCAAGGGTGAACTAAATAGTGAATAAAAAGAACTTCATGCACCTGACCTATGCAGCAGTCAATAAATGTCAGATCCCCTTCTAGCTTTGTGCACCTCAGTTTCCTCATAAGATTATTGCAAATATCAAATGAATTAGTTTCTTTTAACCGCAGAAAAGAGGATGATTTTTCTCATGGTGCCTCCTCTGCCTAGGAGGCCCTTCCTGCATTTGCTCTACACATTGAAATCTTACCTTCCATAGAGGGCCAGCGCATAAGTGTTTTCTTCCCCAATCATGGTATACCAGAATCAATTTTTTTTTCTCTATCCTCAACTATTGTGTTCATACTGGTTACAACCCTTGTCACAGTTATATTTGCATAAGCTAGTAAGATAAGACCTGGATATTGCATATCTTCATTTTTCTACATCTTTAGGACATAGCACGATGCCTGGTAGATAGTAAGAAAATGTTGACTTGAACTCTTGTCCACCAAGTAAAGTAGGCTGTTGTAATTTTCTGAACTAGGAATCATGAATCCTCGTTTTATTTGAAACCAATGAGCTCTCATGGCCTCAGTTTCCTCATCTATAAAACCCAAGTGTTGTTGGAGGTTCCTTTCCTCACTAACATGTTTATCCTTGCTTAGACAAAACTCATTCCAAGTATTATGGGTTTTCTTTGGAGCCTGCTCTAATGCTGCCCCCTAGCGGTCTATTGCAGCACTTTCCTGGATTGCACCTAGCCCTTTAGACCAGGGCTGTCCATTAGAAATATGAGTCACGTGTTATTTTAGTTTTCCTAGTAGCCACATTGAAAGAGTAAAAAGAAACATGTGAAAGTAACTTTAATAGTTAATAGTTTAGGAGTTAATTTTATTCTCATCTAGTTCTTCCAAATCAAAACATCTAAATGAATGCTGAGTGATTGAAACATTTGGGTCTCACTTCTACAGGATCGCCTCCTGCTGGGGCATTGACAAGTGTATTTGTGGTAAGAGGACTAATGAGCTAATGTGTTATGCTCATAAGGTAGTATGTCACAGTGGCCTTCTAGAGACAAAGTCAATAAGGGTCTTGGTTGGTAGGCATTTCAGGGAGATTTCAGTGGGTCTCCTCGTTCTAGACTGTTTTGCCTGGTTTCTAGCCCATCCTGGGTGGTGGAAGCCTCTTACCTCTGCCTGTGAATCTTGGTTTGGTGAGTGTAGCTGGCTGTCTGGGGCCTGAGCAGCCTCTCTGGTGCTGAGGTCTTTGAAGCTGTGGTGGATGGCAGGAGGGTTGTGGACTTGGCAGATACCATTGGAGATGATCTGGAAACTTCAGGGCTGTGGGTGATTGGGGTGGTGGGGGAGGGCTGGTGTGCTGCAGGGACCCCCGTCTTTGGAGCTGATGTGCTTACTGCAGGAGATAGCAGGAAAAAGTGACCTTCCATATACACACTAGTGTCCAGCCGGGTTGGGTCGCTGTCTTTTTCCTGAATCCTCTTCCATTTTATCTAGACTACATTTGTCCCTTGCACTCCTCATGGCTTGAAATGCCTTCTTAATATGCCATCTATACTTAGTAAATTCTATCCGTATTTTCTTCAAACACCATTTTCTCCTGAAAGTTTTCCATGACTTTCAAGGCGGAAGGCCTAGCCCTCCTCTGAGCGTGGAGAAACCCTTGTTAGTAGTTGCCACTCTGCCGTGTACTTATCCAGTCTCCTCCATCCCACACCTGTCAGTCAGAACCTTGAGTCTGTGATGTGCTCCGTTAAACTGTGCCTCTTGGCACCCAACAGGGTCCTCTAGTGAAACAATGTTCAGTAAATGTATCTACCTCATAGGGCAGATGTGAGGATGCGGTGGAAATATTACGTGTCAAAATGCATTTAAAACAGAAAAATGATAAAGAAATGTAAAGGTATCATCGTTAATCTCTGTATTGCACAATAGAGTTGTCAAACTCACTGTATGGCAGCAAGCGGAAGACAGCCCTATAGGCAGCAGGAGGCATAACGACCTCCAGCTGGGAAACGTCTGCCCCGTTTTGGTTTCTGAAGTCATTCATGAAAGAGCTAGATTTTGTGAATGGAGCACAAACTTCATTATTTGTGCTGCCATCTAGTGGTGATGTAAGCTCTGCAACGAGTGCCGAGTGTACAGGCTGTGGCATGGGCTTGAAGACAACAGGACGCAGATCTCAGGGAGGTACCCTCTCCTAAGGCAGGGAAAGACACATCTGAGACCCAGCTCCTATCTGCCGACCGCCCTATGAACTGAACACAAACCCCCTCCTTCATTTTCACGATGCCACATCACTCACCCCACCTCTGCTACCCTACCTTTGGTGACCTGACCTTTGGATGTGAATTCGAAGGAGCTGGCATGTGCAGGCTTCTGGAACCATGGCATCCGCCCTTGTAGAAATCTCTGAAACCATGCTGGAGGCTCAGATATCGGCTCCTCTTCCCAGAACGGCTCGTACTCTGCTGGAGGCAAGAGGAATACACCGGTGGGCTCTGGAAGGAGATGGGGGGGGGGCCTGGGAAGGGACAGTGGTAGGAGCTGAAGCTGACCTAGCCAAGATAGATGGCAGTGAGGGGACGAGGGCAGGGTCCACCAACAGGAGCAGGAGAATGGGGCTGGGAGCTCCCCTGAGGAAAAAATTTCACCGTAACCCAGTCAACAGTCTCTGTGAAACCAATGGGTTTCTAGGCTATTGAATTAGTGCTGTGTATGTGTGAGGAAGTTGGTGGAGAAGAGAAAGGCAGGATTTGAAGAAATATGGAAAGGATCAGGTCATAAATTAATAAGTTTGGCCTACAAATGGGGCTTGAGAAATGACTGTCTTTCCTTTATATTTATCCATAATATTTCTCATGAGAAAATTGTGGTTTTTTGCTTTCAACTTCCTCCAGTTTCAGGCCTCTCCTCATTCTCAACCCTCACACCTCCCTCATGTCCTGGGTACTGGATTCAATACAACACAAGAATAGCAACTATCTTGTTTGGAGAGAAAATTCTGTAGACCATGAAGTTAATTGACTCTGCGAGGTTTCGCCTGTTCAAATGCCAATTATTATTGGAGTGGCTAATGCGACAATAGCCTAAGAGACTGGAAGACTGCTACAGTTTAATAGCTGTCCCAGCCCTCCTGAGTGGAACTGTTTTCTGGGTGGGCTGAGCCTCCCTCAGGTGGAGCACCTACCACTGTAGACATCTAGGGTGACTTTCTGGGTCTTGCCCCGGTCTGTGTACACGCCATTCCCACAGGCATAGACTCCGCTGTCATTCTTGGTCAGCTCTTTCACCTCCACTAGAAACTGATGCTGGTCTGGACACATCTTCAGTGTGACTCGTTGTTTGTATTCCTTCTTGACAAAGTTATTGCTGGATACCACGGTGACACACCTTCTGGGTGCGTCTGCCTCCCGGCACAGATATAGCCTCCTGGGCATTTTAGGAAGTGGACACTCGATGGTAACGGATCCGCCCAGCATTCCTTCCAGCTTGACTTCTGGGACCATTTTCAGAGCTCCAGATACTGCAGGGAGAGGGAGTCAATGCATAGGAAACCTCATCTCCAGCCCCATCCCCAACTGCATCCCAGGCCCCAGCCCAGCCCCATGCTCGTCCCTAGATCCAGCCCCATCCCCGTTATCAGCCCAAGCTTTAGCCGGCCCTCAGCCTCAGCCCTACCCTAATCTGTAGCCCTCTTCCCATCCCCACATCTATTTACATCCTCAGTTCAGCTCTGTGTTCATCCCTGTGCCCAAACTTGAGTCTCAGCCAGACCTGTCCCCAACCCAAACCTGAACATAACGTGCAGCCTCATCACCAAACTCAAACCCATAAGGACCCAGACACCAAACCCCTGAGAATATAGTCAAAACTACAATCCCAATCCAAGGAGAGAGAATTTGCCATGGTGACTCCGAACAGCACATACGTTTCAGGTGACTTCAGTGTGGTGTTGGGAGGCATGGTATAATTTTGCTGCAACAGGTTTTTCAGTCTAGTTTTGTTTTGTTCAGATCCATTCAGCCAAAACAACCTTTCACCTCCAGTTCTATTTGTTAAATCATTCAACAAGCATTTACTGAATGCCTTTCCTGTGACAGTAAGATAGCTGGCATTCTTCATCTCACAGTAGGAGTCATTTAGTGGGTGATACAAATGGACAGCAACTATAGCAGTCTCGTAGATCCCATGAAGAGACACACAGGGTTTCTTGGAAGCAACAAGCAGGGGCACCTGATCCAAGCTGTTGCAGAGGGATGGTGTAGTTGGGGGGAGGCTTTCTGGAAGAAGTGATGTGTCCATTGTGACCTGAGGGATTGGGCGTGGAGGGCAACTGAAGGATGATGACTGTCTTCACTGCAGCCAGGAGCATAGAGGGAAAGCAAGGGTGTATGTGCGTTTGTGTGTGTATGCATGGGTACGTGCGTATTGTGTGTGTTCTGGGGAGGGTGTGGAGCAGAGAGGGAGAAAAGATGTGGCTCATGAATCCCTGGCATGAAAATGCTTTTCCTGAAGAAGGCAGGTCTAACACAGTTGAGCCAGTTGGAGAAGACGGTATGGCCAGGTATGATGAGTTGTCAACGAATCATAGTTGGCAACTTAGTTGGCAACTAAGTGGGTCCCTATAAGTGTCTGCATATTTCGGGGAAGAGGGTTCCGAGGGTGACATGTGTGTGTTGGGGTGGGGCTGAGGGATCGGGTGGAGGAGGAGAGGTACTTCCAGCCGTGAGAACGTCTCCCGTAAAGGCCGAGATGTGAGAGAGAACATGGCATGTTCATAGGGTGGAGGAAAGTTCACCAACTTCCTGAAATTCATCCACAGACCGCACACTAAGAATTCCTCCAAGGAGTTTAGCAAAATGAGGAGAGTCAAGGAAAGACGTGGGGCCTGAGGCTTCCAGATGAGCACTGAGAACTGAAGAGGACGTTCCAGGAGAGGGAAGGGTGTGGATAAGCGTGAAGAGGTAGAAACAGCCATGGGAACATGAGACATGGGAGGCTAGACAGGGGCTGGGAGGGAGCATTTCAGAATGTTACCATCTGGAAGTGTAGCTGTTGTAATGTGGTAGGGAGAAACAGAGCAGCCAGCCAGATACGTAAGATCTGGCATGTAAACCCTCACACAAATAACCCAGCACTGCTTTAAGGACCCCTGGAAACTGAGACTTGTGTGGTAGCCTCGTGACTGGAATGTGGCAATGGAAGGGTGACCTGTGCAAAGGACAAAGACCCACTCAAGGGGATAGGGGAATCACCTTGTGTGTCCAGACAGCCCAGCATCTGAGAGTAAACACGTAAAGGTTTTGGGATCAAGTCAGCCAGAAAGGGGCATGAATCCTGCTTTCCGAAGAACAAGATGCTATAAAATGGGCAGGCATATGAGAGAGCAGAGAGGGGTCGTCACCTATGCAGACACCTCTGGTGGCTTCTCTCTACTCAGGAATGGGCTTCTGGTAAACCCCTGGCTTGCTCAGATCCTCTGTTACAGGCTGCATGTTTGTGTCCCCCCCAAATCTGTGTATTGAAGCCCTAACCCACCAATGTGATGTTATTAGGAGGTGGGGCCTTTGGGAGGTGATCAGGGTTTGATGAAGGCTTAGTGTTCTTATTCTCTCCAAGCACACAAGAGGCCATGTGTGCACACAGGGAGATGGTGGCCATTTGCAAGCCAGGAAGAGAGCCCTCGCCAAGAACTGTATCTGCTGGCACCTTGATCTTGGACTTCCAGATTCCTGAGCTATGAGAAATAAACATCTGTTGTTTAAGCAGTGCAGTCTATGGTATTTTGTTACAAGGTGACTAAGACATTCTCATTGTGCAAATGCTGGATGGATGGAGCACAAGGAACGCTGCTAGGCACGCTGAGCTCTGGTCTCAAGGAAGCACTAGTTGGTGAGGTGAAAATGACCAGAGTCCACCTCTCCTTAGAGTTCACAGTAGCTTCTCACCTCCACCAAAAGCTTAGAAAACCAGATTTCCCAAACAAAGAAAAGATAGATATAACCTCCTGGTTTAGATTAATGCACAGTGTGTGTAAGACTCATGCCGGAGGAAACTTGCATGGGTCATCCTATGCAGATGACCTGGTCCTACCTCCCCTTAGGCATGGTGATTATATCACTAAATGATTCTGGGAAGAAAGAAAGCCAGTGGAAGAAGCTATCTAAAGGAACCAAGCTGTTGAATGTTGGTATTTTAGAGAAGCTACTGGTAAGTGACATTAATCTCGAATTTGTTGACTTGATTTACAGTGGTGCTGGTAAGGGAGAGGGAGATTTGTGGTTTAAAAAGTCACCCTCAATATATAATTAAATATAAATAGATGTTTGGAACATGGAAAAAAATGTATAATTTTCATAATGCAAAATCAGGTAAAGGGTCACGTGGCCTTGGCTGGTGGGGGTGCTTTGGAGATAAACTCTGGATTCCATGTGGTGATGATTTTCTAGCGGGGGAGTGGTGATAAGGACCCAATAACTCAAGTCATAGCAGAGTCTCTGGAAGAAGGCAGCTGGCTTATGAGACAGAGCATGTATTTTTTAAAAAGGATGAGAAACATTTTACTCAATTTCTCACTTCTGCATACACTAACCTATGTGTGACCAGGCCTTCCGTCTGCCCTATGTCCTGTTTGCTCCTCTCAAAAGCCAGGGCCTTCGCCTGTATCCTGAGTCCACCCTGCTCACTTTCGTTAGAACTTCCCTTCTGTAATTATCCTTTTATCTCCCTGCCTCATTGCTTCCTCCACTTCTAGTGTCGCCATGGCTTATGCACATGCTTGATGGTGCCGTATTGAAAAACCCCTTGGTTTACTTTTACCTCCCCTTCAGCTGTTACCCCCTCTCTGTTCTCTTTCTCAAATGAGTCACCAAAATCACCGAATCCACTTCCATGCCTCCCGATTCCTCTTCTACCTACACCTGTCAGAATTTTGTCTCCAACATTCCACTGAAACTGCTCTAAAGAAAGTCACCAAAATTTTTCTTGTTGCAACATTAGATGGTCACTTATTTGTCTTCATTTTACTTGTTTCTCAGTAGGATTTGTCAGAATCAAACTCTCCCACCTTGAAACACTTTCTTCTCTTGTCTTCCCTGACACCACACTCCCAATGGCTGTTCCTTTTCAATCTCTTCTCTTACTTCTCCTTCTCCATCCACTTCTCAGTGTTGGGCTACCCCTGGGCCTGGTGCTTGGGCCTGTTCCTTTCTCTGTCCTGCTTCACTCTCTTTTCACGCTAGCTCATTTACTCCTATGGCTTTTAATGCCAACTCTATACATATTTCACGACAACATGTATCTCTAGTCTTGTCTTTACCTCTGAGCTCCAGACTTGCCTTCCTGATATCGCAACTTGGACTCCATTTGAACATCTAATATGTATTTCAAACTTACAATGGCAAACAAACAAACAAACAAACAAAAAACTATTGATTTCTCTTCCAAAACCTATTCCCACCCAACCCCTCTTCCCTCTGAGACCTAAGTTCGGTTGTACTCACATTGTGCTCACCTATGTCCTAGTACCTCTCACCGAGTCTGATATTTCATTAAAAGTCCATTCCCTTGAGCTTTTAGGGTTCTTTAATCTTTGATTTGACAAACATTTGGTTTTCTTCCATGCTCAAGCCATCATAAAGAGAACAAGTATGAAGAAAAATCCATTGTGACCCTCAAGGAGATGACCATTTAATCAACAAAATAAGGCGGACACACCCTGAGCCACAATACAAGGCAGAATGGGACCAGCTACTGGGGTTCAGAAGAGGCGGCTCTGGAAAGTGTATAGAAAGGAGGTAAAGGTTGAGATGAGCTGTGGAGGACCCATAAGAGGTAAAAGGTGAGTGGAAGGATGTTCCTGGCAGAAGGATTGGCACGAGCAATATCTGGTGGCAGGAAGTCTTGCATATGTTCAAGGAGAAGTCTTGCTGAGCTGGAGGTTAGGGAAGGTCAGAGGAATGTGATAAGCTCAGAGGGTAAAGGGAAGCATAAGGGAGAGGTTTGTATTTAATTCAGTAGACAGTGGAAGGGTGATCCTATGATTAGAGTCAAGCTTTAGGAAAACTAATCTGGAACTACAGGCAGGTCAAGTTGGAGGAAGTGGGAAAGATAGTTAAGAAATGACCATGTGTTTTTTTCCTTTCCATTCCCTCTGTTATGTCTCTAGTAGAGGCTGCCATCTACTGGTAAATAGAAATCTAGAAACTACATGAATTGGCCATTGTTGGGGTCAAAGTGTGGTTGGGGATAAATAAAAAGAGGTGGTAAGAGCAATTCTAGCATTTTGTGGCTAATATCAGAGACAGTTGAGACAGAGAGAGTAGCTGGTTTGGTTGGTGACCAATGAGGAATTTGAAGTCAGGTGTTAGGTACGTTGCATTTCAGATCTGGGTGGGATTGAAGTGGGGGTACCCAGGAAACAATTGTAAACTGAGATATGGAACTCGGGAAATGGATTAGGGCTACCAAATGGACTAGGGAGTCTTCATTTAGAGTTGGAAGTTGAAAATCAGGAGTGTAAGAAATCCAAAGAAAGAGAAAGTAAAGATAAGAAGAAAGAACTTTGGGGGCACTTGCTTTAAGATCCCATATTAACAGGCAAATATGTTTGGGGGAGGTGACACCTTTGTGAATCAACAGCTGAGTGGAACAGAAGATGTGTATGGAGTAGAGAGAGAGGCACCAACAGGGAGTGGGGAGGGCCTCATGTGGCCGCCATCCATGTCCTGCCCTAGTACTAGTTTGCAACTAAATCTGCCCAGAAACATAAGAGCTGGAGATGCCCAGCCACTCTGCTACCTGTGGTCAATTCAAACCTCATAAGATATGTGAGGTGTTTCCCCACGGCACTTACCTGGCAGGAAGTAAAGTGACCAAAACCAGATGTCCATGGCTTCTTCCAGAGCAAGGTCCCATCCAAGATCCCCTGGAGAGGGGGTAGAGACCCACTGCTCACCCAGGAACCCGTCACTATCTGGAGCTTGAAAGAGATTTCTGGCCCATGTGAGGAGCAAGGCTTGAAAATGAGGAAATGACAACCTGTCTTGTTTGCTTACTAGTCTTAGATTAAAAAGAAAGCAAAAAAAGAGAAAACATCAGCAAACCACAGCGGAAGTCAGTTGAGAAAACATGTTATGTTGAATTAGAATGGGCCACCAGGGTTCAAAGGGCCTCTAGGGAGATCCTAAAGGCTATTAGAAAGTACCAAACATGGTCTTTCTTTTCCGTGGGCACTTTTTCTTAGAGGGGCCTCTCATACTCTGTGGGTATTCTTTGATGTTTGAGCCAGAGTTCTTTGCTTTTTCCCTGTCTCCAATTTTCTCCATCTGAGGAAGGCTGTGTGGACAGGAGCTTGGGCCTAAGGTGGAGGTGCTGGTTTTAGCCCTTGAACTCATTTGACAAATATAGTCTTTTAATTAGTTTATTTATTAAATTTATTGGGGTGACACTGATTAGTAAAATTATATAAGCTTCAAGTGTACATCTCTATATCATCTATATATCGCATTGTGTGTTCACCACTCAGAGTCAGTTCCCCTTCCATCACCATATATTTGACCCCCTTTACCCTCATCTACCACCCCCTCCCCCCTCCCCCTTTGATAACCACTAAACTGTTGTCTGTGTTTATGAGATTTTGTTTCTTTGTTTGATTGTCTTGTTCTTTCATTGCTTTCAGTCTTATATCCCACATATGACTGAAGTCATATGGTTCTTGACTTTGTCTGTCTGACTTATTTTGCTTAGCATGCTAATCTCAAGATCCATCCTTGTCATGTATGTGTACCACATCTTCTTTATCCAATCATCTATTGAAGGGCACTTTGGTTGTTTCCATGCCTTGGCTACAAATAATGCTGCAATGAACATAGGGATACATATATCTTTATAGATAAATGTTTTCAGATTTTTGGGGTAGACACCCAGACGAGGGATTGCTGGGTCTTACGGTAATTCTATTCTTAATTTTTCAAGAAACCTCTGTACTATTTTCTACAGGGGCTGGACCAATTTACGTTCCCACCAGCATGACTAATATTTTTGAGCACCTACTATGTGGGAATACTAAGTATGGGTTTTGAGCCTTGATTTCTTTATCTAGAAAACAAAGGCGGGGTTAGATGATCCCTGGCATTTCCTCCTACAGAACACTGTTCCTGAAGTCTTAACCACAGCTCACCCAGCACCTCAGACCAGCCAACTCTCATCTCCCCCAACTATTTCCCTAAGGCTCTATTCTGGCAGGGACCCAGGCCACTGTCCAGTGACCACAGGGCTGATGCCAGGAGAGGGTGTGACAAGTCACACAACAAATCTGCCTAAAGCCTGGCAGAGCAATCCCTTCAGGACCCCAAGGGTCCAAGGGCGTGACCCAGTGACTGATGGAGAAGAGAGAGATACTGAGGCCATCAGCCTCGCGGTATCATGGAAAGAGCTTCGGGTTCTAGTCCGAAGACCTAAGTTCTGGTCCTGCTAGCACTTTCTAGCCTTGGGCCTCAGTTTTCTCATGGATGAAATAGAGATGATCCCTGCCCTGCCTACCTCACATGCTGTCATGAGGCCTAGCAGAAACCATGCCTTAAAAACCCTTTAATGTGGAGATATATGGGGCTGTCATTAATTGGAGGATTCCCAGAGTTCATTTCTGGATGTTATATCCTACGTGGGTTTCCAGGGCCCCACCTCCAGGCATTGCAGCCTCCTGTGCCTACAGAGGACTCAAGCTGTTCTTACACCCTTCTGGGAGGATGTGGCTAACAGAGCGTCCAGGCTCTTCAGAGGTCCCATGTCTACCACTCCCCACCGGCCCCCACACACCAGATTTGTCACATGCTCTCCAAAACACAAAACGACGACATCCGCAGTGGAAGTCGAATGTGAGGCTCAGAGCAGGTGCAGAGGAAGCGTGTGTGGGGGCAGGCAGCCTGCCCTGCCCACCCCTATCTGTGTCTCCACCAGCCCAGAGCAGCTGCACTTGTGATTCCCTCTAGGCACTCTGGGCCAAGGTGTCAGCGCGCAGCCTCAGGCCTCTGCTTAGAGTGAGTGGCTGCCAGAGGTCTCCGCTCCCATCTACCTCCACCCTTCCCAAATTCAAGGACCCTTTCCAGTGCCCTACAGCTGTCACACAGCTGGGCTCTGGCATTTGTGGGGCTCCCGGCCCGGGATTGCCTTGGAGAGAAAGAAAATAAATGAAGGGCTGTGTTGTGGGTGTGACTGTGGGTGTGAATGTGTGAGTGTGGGTGTGCCAGTGTGTGCTGTGTGATGTGTGAGACAGTATGTGAAGTATGCGTCGTGTGTGACCGTGGGAGGAGTGGTGTGGGAATGTGTTATGTGTGATATGTGAGTGTATGATGTGTGTTGTGGGATGTGTGAATATGTGATGTGTGGCTGAGTGTGTGAATGTGTGTTGTGTGGTTGTGAGCGTGTGATGCATGAACGTGCGGTGTGTGAGGATGAAGGGTTATCTGTGCTGCGGCTGGGGCCTGCCAGGCAGTGCTGAGGATGTGTGGGATGAGTGGGTAGGAGAGATTTTCACATCATGTGTGGCCCAAATCAAACCCTCAGAAACATCACATTGGGCTGGTAAGAGCAAGAATTAGGGGCCTGAGGACTGCCAGGCAGGAAGTGAATGTTTGGAGTCTGAGGCATCAAAACTCCCAGTCCTTGGTCTGTCCAGCCTCGACCGGCAGATGCTGCCCTAGGGTCTCGGGGTTGGGGCCCTAAGGGAAGACTGACTGACCCCTGGCGAAATTGCAAAGTGGAAAAAGTTTACCATCCGTATTCTCCTCTCCCTCCTTTATTTTCCCCCATCTAAATTTCATTTCTCCTTTCTGACTCAAGGGCTCCTGTATTGCGCTGGTGCTCCTACTCCCAGGAGAAGGTCTGAAGAGCTAACGCACTGATGGCCAGAGCTCAATGGCTAAAAGTCCTCTAAGAACAATGCTTGATCAGAACGGATGAACCTGATGGAAAAAATTCAGAGCCCGCTGATAGGAGGGTGGAGGCAACACTAGCACGATACACTGGGAACTGTTCTAAGTCCTTTAGGTAAATTCATTTAATCTCCATAGTAACTTAGCTTTTATTACCCTCCCTGTGTTCCAGATGGGATAAGAAGAACATTCCTCATAAGGTGTTTGTGAGGATTGCATGAGGCCAACATTTCAAGGGCCTAGCACAGTCCCTGGAATATAGTATGAGTGCCATGGAGACTAACCGTGGCCATTAAGGTGGAGGTTGTCATTATGGGTTCTGCATCACCCTACTTTGACCTCCCACATGGCCAGACTCCCAAGGGCCTCCCCCTGGGCCTTTCTGGGCTGACAGCTAAGATCCTCAAGCGGCCCTCTCCATGACTCAACACTGCTCTCCCCAAAGACAGCCCACGACAATCCCCCTGCCTGCAGGACTCACCAGGGAGCCCGGCCAGGTAGAGGCACCTGGTTCAGGCATCCTACAGTCCCCTCTTTCCAAGAACTTGGATCATAGGCTTGCCTGCCCCCGAGTGAGCTGCTCTGCAGGAATGGGGCTTTGGAGAGGTTAGCCTATTCATGACTTCCTGCTACAAGAAATGGTAGAATTTTGGTACGGAAGATTTCTTTCCTGAATATAGTGATATTCCAATTGGGACTCTAAGGTTAGAACCCAAATATGTGGGAATTTTGGATGAATTTTAATGTGATTTGTCAGCAAAGACCTGAATTTTAGAATATTCACCTTCACACATTTAAACAAAAACTTTTGGCTTTAGTGAGGGTGGATAGGCCACCCATACTTCATCAGTCTTAACATACATAGGGCTTACCAAGCCCCTAGCTCTAGAATCTTATAGCTTGACCTTGGTTCCCTTCCTGCTTCACTTCCCTGGCCAGCTGGGGACCAGTGATCTCAGCCTTACATCTTTTCTTTCAGTGCCCATCTACTTAGATGTGTGGTCTTACTGAGATGATCTCTTACTGTTTTTATTATACAGACTCCCTGGTAGAGTTCATTATTTCAGAGAAGCTTGGGGGTGAGGGGGTGGGGGGACTCTACTTCTCTGCCTTGGAGACCAGGTCCACAGACCGTATCACAATCAGTTCCTCTCTGCTGTCCACTATTCTTAGGAGATGTTCTTTCCTGAGTCTTCGGAAAGTCTTGGGCAAGTGAAGTATATTTTAGCTTTACAAACCCAAATCAACTGCTACTATAAACAGATTCGCAACCACTATTGGGCCTTAGTGATGCATACTTATTATTACATAATGGATTTTTCAAATGAAAAACATCAAGATAATTCAAGAACTGAAGGAAGATTTTCTTGTCATCAGAAATATTTAAGTAGTTCTCTGAGTAGTTGCTGGATACTGATCATTGCTAATTGGTTTATCGTCATCAACTCCACAGTTAATTTGTTATCCCTTTGTACTGGGCTGAAAATAGTGTTCCTCCAAAATTCATGTCCACCCGGAACCTCAGAATATCACCTTATTTAGAAAAGGAACTTTGCAGATGAGGTCAAACTGGACTGATGTCCTTATAAGAAGGTCGTGTGAAAACACAGAGAGACACACAGAGAGAAGGCCATGTGATGATGGAGGCAGAGACAGTGATACTTCTACAAGCCAAGGAACGCCGAGGGTTGCTGGCAACCACCAAAAACTAGGAGAACAACATGAACAGATGCTCCCTCAGAGCTTTCAGGAGGAACTGGCCTTGCTGACACCTTGATTTCAGACTTTTAGTTTCCAGAATAGTGAGAGAATAAATGACTACTGTTTTAAGCCACCTAGTTTGTGGTACTTTGTTACAGCAGTCCTTGAAAATGAGTAACACCCCCACCCACACTCCAAATGGTCACTTTTAACTTATTAGATAATCCATGTTGGCTACAGATCAGACGGGTTTCTCTGTCAAACGTGCAGCATAAGGAGTAGGTGGAATTTGGGCAGTACATTGTTATACTTGTTATCACCTGTTGATAATATTGATCAAGAATAATGTACGATTGTCTACAGCTTTAGTGACATTTCTTAGTCTTTGATTCTAGGGACTGGGATAGGCTGCGTGAGCTCAGGATTGGCTTGCAATTATTGGCATTAATACAGAAGCTGTGCCTGAATCCTTCTGCCCCAGCCATGACCCTTTGGTAGGTCAGATAGCAGCTTCCTGAGGGTACAACGGTGATAGGTTCAGACACACCTTCTAGTCTTAGTTCTCCTGGAGTGATTTGCTGTCATTTCAGGGGAAGTCAGATATGCATCCCCATTGTAGAGAACAGAGAAATGTTCCTGATGACCACCTTTCCTGGCTGGGGAGGAGCCCAAGGATCAGGACTGGGTACTGCAGTTGGTGGGATTGACACCAAGGGAGGCTGAAGTCTGAGTTGTTTCAAGGGCAGGCTTAGGAAGCACATGGCACCAGGAGCGTTATGTTCAAGTAAAGGTTTGGCCCCACCTCAGCAGGCTAGAAGGCTGAGAAGAACTCTCTCCCAGAGAGAGCTCTGCACACCCACAGGCCCTGAGGAGGAGTCTGGGTGGGTTGGGGGCTTACAGGATATGACAAGGTTTAGTACCAGAACGTAGGAATGGCCTTAATAGACAAGGGAGTCCTTTATGGAATCACTGTCCCCCAAGCGATTTTGGATGAACTCAGGATTGGGCACTAAGTTATCTAAAATCTAAGTTATCCTTTAACTAACTTCTATGTGGTATTCCTATGAAGGGAGTTGACTCATTTGGTTAATTGAGTTTTGATTAACAGCCTCTTGATCTTGGAGGATACCCAGGAAGGTATGAGATTCAAGGTCAAGTATTCCATGGATGTTTTACCAAGATTGTTTGGTTTTTTTTACAGGCCTAAGAGGAGCACTGGTTATACCTGCTGTCAGTTTATTCCATTATAAATAGTCTTACTCTTATTTACACAGAGCTTTGGGGGCCTTATCATTGGTGTAGACTCCAAACTATTCTTTTATTGAGGATAATCTTCGTCTCACTTGGAGGCCGTCTCTTAGTCCCCCCTCAGCCCAGTGTTGGAGATCGAGGAAACTTTGGTTTAGACAAATGTCCTGGGGTACCCGACAGTGGAGCCAAAGCAAACTGCTCTGAAAAGGTTGTCTGGAAACAGAAGGTATGGAGGACAAATGCAGTCTGAGCCTCCTTGGTGACAATCATGGTCTTTAATTATTATTAAGTTACATTATTGATTTGTTAGCAAATGCCAACTTGTAGATGCTGGTTGAGGCACAGAGCTCAGAGGAAAAAAGACCTTACACCTTAGCCCTCTGGAGATCAGCCCCTCTTTGGCACCTCAAATACTGTTTTTCTTTCCTTCTACTCAGGCCTCTTCAGATACAGAGGCTATGAGTGTTTGACCATTTTTTTATCCTCTTAGGTCCATGTGAGTGACAGAAAGGGAAAGGGTTGTATTCCCTGAGGTGGGGCCTGTGAGAGATCAGTCTCCATTTACATTTTTCCTTCCTCCTCCTCCTCTTCCTCCTTATTCTAGCGCTCTGCCTCCAACAAGAGAGCAGGGGTTCTTATAGATCCCTGGCCAAGAGAAACCAAATTTAGTTTTGACAGTGGAGTATCTCACTTGGTGTCCTTGGGCAAATCTCTTCACCTCTCAGGACCTCAATTTTCTCACACCTGTAAAATGGTAAGAATGTGTGTTTATGATTCGTTATACGTGTGCCTATGCATGTTACATGATTCCTAAGGCCTTAGAATTCCAGGCATTTAATGATTTCTCCAAAAATGGGCAGAGGTGAGTACACCTGATGAGGATTTCAAGTCGTAGCAAGTATAAATACACCAAGAAGCTGTGTCTTCCAAGTGATGTTTACAGAAAGGCTGCAGACTGGGAGTGCAGCCTCTGTCCTCATGTCTAGTAGAGCACCTGGATTCTGGTGAGGATTCAGAAATGCATTTTCAATGAAGGAAAAAAAGAAGAGAGGATGGAAAGGAGGAAGGCATAAGAAATGGAGGGATGGAGTGGGGAATATCAATTCCTATTGAAATCCCATAATAAGGGTGCAGAGAAGCCCCAAATGGCCCTCCTTTCTAAAATGATCTCCCCATCCACTGGATCTCTCTTCTTTTGGCAAGGCCCCTTTAAGATCTCAAGTCTCCTTCCACACCTTAGGCTTTCTCATTAGAAATAAGCTGCAGGTGGGAACTCACGTCACCTCACCCTCAACAGGAACAATGAGGTCAGGTTTGGATGCCACTGAGGTGGGACCAGGACACTCTCCGAGGACAGGTAGGAAAAGCCTAGGTGGGGTGTGAGTGCAGGCAGCAGAGCCCCCGAAGCTGAGGGCCTTGAGGATCAATGTGATTCTGAAGATGATTGTTAAGTGTGGTAGAGGGAGACAGCTGGTGCTCAGTCTAGGCTTCGCTGGGGCCATCCTGGACGTCGGCCGCCATGTTGTTGGTCTGGAGCAGATAGGCAGTGTAGGCCATGTCAGCTTCCTCCTTGGAGGACTGGGGAAGCAACAGGAAAGGAGTCAGTGTTTGGAGCATTGGTTCAGCGAGTGGGGCTCGGAGAGAGAAGATACGTTAAATATCCTAATTCATGACCTTGACCCAAGCAACCCATGCCCGTGTTGACCCGCTATTCTTAGCACAGCCCCATGCTCACCAAGAGGGACTAATTTTGAGAAACAGAAAGTAGCAGCTTCTAAAAATATCTCCCTCTGTCTCACTACCTCCTTCCAACACATGGAGTGGAACCACCTCTGCTACCTGGGCCTGTCCCCGGAAGCTCTGCCCACACATTTCATGGGGGCCAAGGGGGTCTAGGCTAGCATCAGCTACAGTGGTTTATGTTTTTCTTTCTCCAGGAGCCCAGAGACACAACACAAGGCTAGAGGAGAAGGCTGTCTCCGGAACTAACTCATTCCCCTAATTGTTCCAAATGCTGGGGTCTCCGCCTCTGTGAGGGAGGGAGAGTACATATGATAGCAAATGTTACCACCTTGGGATTAGGGAGGCACAGGGGAGGATAATATGTGACCCAAAGGCAGGAGTCACCTCTGGTACAATTTTAAGTAATGTAGCACTTGGTTGGGGTGGAGAGGGACTTCTAGTGACTATCCAATAGTCCACCACCAGCAAATGTCTTCCAGGCCCTGGAAAAAGCCTGGTCATGAGCAAGCTCCTGTGACTTGAAGTCCATGGGCCCCACAGCCCAGGAGGAGGACCCACTTAATCACCAGCATTTGGTCGTTGGCCTTCCTATCTGTTGGCCAAATCTTTCATCTACTTGCCTTCCTCCCCCCTCCCGCCCCCAGGCTCTCTCCCTCCTGCATGTTTACAGCCTATAAACACAGCCCACCTCCTACCTCTGCCCCAACCACATCAATACCGCAACTAGGAAGATACGTCTCGCCCTCAAACATTTCTCCTGAACACTGTTTACACGACCTTCCCTGTTCTGCTATCAGCCCCGACTTTGAGGTAGTTTTTCCTCATGTCTAACTGCAGTCCCTCATGCTTTATTTCCTTGTGATGCAAGTGAGACCTCTTCTCCCTCCTCACCCTTACCCTCTTTGCTTTCTTTGGTTCTTCCATCTCCACGGTGTTCTCGGTGGTGGTCGTGACCTCTGTGTGAAGAGAGGGGGTAGGTTAGCCTTCACTAGCCTTCTCTTCCCACCCCAGATACAGAGTCAGTTCTAATTCTTACTCTCCCAGGGGTCAGGCATCCCCTTGAGTGAGGGACATACCTTCTTTTCTTCCCAGAGATGTCTCCTGAGTGACCGAAGAGGCTCCCATGTTGTCATTGGCTCCAAAGTCCCTGGAGTTCTCAAAGTCTGACATGCTAATGTCTGTCCTGTAGCTTCTAATGGAAATCCGGTCTGTCCAGGAGAAAGAGGAGTTGGTGCAGGGATAGGATTGGGGACATATGTTGTTACTCTCAGAGGGAGCCTCACAGAACAGCTGAGAAGGCAGAAGGTCTCTGGTTGCTCATCTCTGACTATGACCCAAAGCAGACTGGAAATGCTCTGAGTGTTCTCCCCAGTCCTTTTTCACAGATAATCAAGACTCAGTAATCCAAGATCCCTGTTTATCATTCTGGCTTCTCCATGTACAGCACCTTGTTTTGTCCTCAAATCAACCTTTTGAGCCTTGTCTTGAACCATGAGGAAACTGAGGCATGAAATGGGGGCCCAAAGTCACACAGCCAGTTAGTTCACAAACTAGGCTGGAAGTGCCATCCCCCAGAACCCTGCTCTCTTCTTCCTGGCAGCCCTGCCTCTGAGCTTATACCCCAAGCAATCATGGATGGCCTTCCAGAAACAGCATTTAGACAGCAGCACTTAATGTAAATTTTGGGTACCTGTGGGTTTATCTTTTCCCACCCTGCTTTCCCAGAACCCTTTCTTGAGCCTATGAAAGAGCAGGAACCTTGGCAGCCTGCCTCCCCTCTCCTCTCCCCCTGCCGCCCCCAAGGGGTTGGAGGTGGGAAGCAGGGAGCATCCGGGGGCTCACCAACATTCCTCCTGTGCCGGGCTCTAACCACCCCCACGACCAGAGCCCCGAGCGCCAGCACCAGGGCCAGGGGCACCAGGGTGGAGACGAGCACTGTGGAGCTCCCTCCTTGACCTGCAGAGCTGGAAGGAAGATTGAGTCGGTTAGTCACTGAATGGGAAACCTGGGGATCCCACGATGGGCAGGTTGACTCTGGCTAGTTTTCCCTCCCAGGCTAATCCACTCCCTCCTCCTGATCCAGCTCTCTAGCTCTGTTCTTCTAAGAAGCTTTCCCAGATGTGGCAAAGGCAAGGACTGGGCCTTCTCTGCATCCCAGGCCTAGGACATTTGAATTGGATGGTAAACACCACCCCAGCCATGGGAGCAGGACAGAGAGTGCCACTGGCCCCTCCTGAGCACAAGCAGAAGCAGCGAGGGCTGTCCCCATTATCGGGGGGCCAAAAGGCTCTCCTACCCAGACCTGCTGGCCCAGGTACTTGGCCTCTAGGATGTTGCCCGAGCTGGAAGCCCGGGTCCTTCCTCACCTGCCAGGCTCTGCAGGTGGTCCGCTCCCACCAGCTGAATCTCCAGGACTCTTCACTGCTCTGTCCTCCGCAAAAAGGTTAGAATCCTGAATGACTTTGTTCTCAGTCTCCCTGACATGTGGATCTATCACCTCCTTGCCAGGAGCAGCATTCGCTTGGCTGACATCTTTGGACCTCGGCTCTATCACCTCCTTGCCAGGAGCAGCATTCGCTTGGCTGACATCTTTGGATCCTGGAGAGAGCAGAATAGGGCTGAATTATGATTCTTTCTCTATGTTTTCACTCCTTGAGGTAAGGGAGTCTGATGAGTCAGTGTGAGACTTCAAAGCTGTTAGAGTAGGGTCTAGTATGACATTAGAAATGGAAGGGTGACGGTCTTTCTCTAGTTAGTCACAGATGATCTCTGTCCCATTAAAGTCAAATTCATTTCCATCTACAAGGCTCCACATCATAGATCCAACTGTGTGTAAGGGCTGACCCATCATCTGGGCACAGAGAGACTTCTCACAGCTTTGAAACGCTGCCCAAGTCCTCTGACTGTAGAGCTGGGTGCAATAGTGCTGCCCCCTGGTGGTCACTTGTCTCTGGGTCCCTCAGTGAACCAGACCCACCTGACCCAGACAAAAGAGCATGTCCAGGGGGACTAAAAGTATCCTCATTAGGGATAAAACATTTCATGTGACATTTTAAAAAGATCCTTAAAATGCAAGCTTCGTAGAAGAGGTTGTCTTAACTTTCTTTATCAGACCTTGTATTTGAAGATATCTGGCCCTCTTTTGAGAGAGCAGGCTTTGGTGGAGTGTGCTGCATGTGATAGTGACTTTGAAATTTCCATGTAAAGATCTCTACATACAAAAAGGCTTACAATGGTCTGAAGGGGCAACTATGAGGCTTGTCTTGAAGCTGAGGTTAAATGGCAAAACAACTTTTTTTTTCTTAGTTTGTGTGTTTATTTGGGATGCTGTTTTGCAGGACTAAATGATATTGTGGGGATAAATCTCCCTTGCCCCCAATGTCTTAGAGCCAAACCTGGCACCCATCCCCCCCCCGCAATGGAGAAGCTGTTGGGCAGGACCCTTTCTCTGAGGTCCCTGGGAGCATGCAGACCTTGCCCTGGGAGACTCACCCTTTCCCCTCTCCTTGACCTCCACATGGACAGCCACAGTCTCTCCGAATTGGAGGCCATGCTTCACCCCGCACCAGTACCAGCCCTCATCCTCTTCGGTGACAGCGTTCAGGGTCAAGGAGATGAGCTGGTTATTCTGGTCGCAGCTCACGGAGCCCTGCCCGGGAGCCTCGTCTTGGCTGGGCAGCGCCTTGCAACCTTTATCGCCCCACTTGCACCAGTATTTCTCATTGGAGAAGAATTTGCACGGAAAGTGGCAAGGGAGCTTGAGAGTCTCTCCCTGCACAGCAGTGACATTCTTGGGTGCCTTGAGGTTTGGTTCTCCTGGAGCAAGGAGGGAGAGAGAAATAGGCACAGAAGTTGACATTGCTGCTGCTGCTGCAGGGAGGTGACTGTGGTGGAGACTTTTGTCCCCACAGCCCATTTCCTCTTTGGACAGCACTGTGAATAACATTATACTGAATAGATAAGAAATGTAATTATGCACCTGTGTAATAATTATTATGGATGACCACCTGTCCTTCCTCTTCTTTTCTAGGCTAATACAGAGCTGTGTTCTGCTTCAGCTGACACCCATAGGCTTTAAAAGAGTCCAGTGTTCTCGGTGATAGAAGGTGCCGTGTGTGGTAGTCTGAAGAGTGTGGGGTATATGCAGGGAAGGGTGCTTGTTATGAAAACAGGACCTGTCCACAGGTGGGCTCTCTTCTGTGGTCTGTCCCATCAGCATGGAGGTGGGTGAGGTAGGAGAAAGAGGGGCTGGGGGGTGATGCTGTTGCTGACTGCAGGAGCCCTGGGGCTGCCTCCCTTTCCTCTTGCCCCCCGTTCAGCTCTTACCTTCGACAATCTGGAGCTCCACCGTGGACCACCAGCGAGCATCACCATTGGTCTGGCACCAGTAGAAGCCAGCATCCTCGGGGGTGAGCTGGTTGAGGATGACCGTGTAGGTGCCATTGCCTGGCTCTTCGTAGAGTGCAAGCCTGCCCTCATACTGCTTGCGTTGTTCCTGAGCCAGCCCCTCGCTGCTCACTAGGTTTACGCAGCTGCCAGCTTGAGCTTCTTTCCAGCGACACAAGTACTTCAGGCTGTTCCTGTCCTTAGGGTTGTAGGGGCAGAGCATGGCCACGGAGCCTCCTACCACGCCCTTTACCACAGAGGGACTCCGGGGCATCATCGTCTCTAGAAGCACAGACAGAAATGGGATGGAAGGATGGCAACGTGGTCTCAGCCAGGGTGAGGAGTGAGGTTTAGACTAATTACCTTACCCCCCTCAGAAAAATGAGACTTTCCTGTGTCCCAGAGCCTGTAGCTGGAGCCACCCAACCAGACCCCAGTGACCTTCACCACTTGTCAGGGCATCTCATTCTCTTCCCCTGCCTTATTCAGAGCAGGGACTGGAAGGAGAGACTATCAGCCCTTCTCTTTGGGCTTCTTACAAAAATCCCCCTCGATATAAGTTTTTGTCTGTTTATTAGCTTGTCTCATAAAAACAGCCAGATGAATTTTCTCCAAGCTAAGAAAATTTAGAACAGTGTGATTTAAAATATAAACTATATATTTAACTGTTGAGGACCCTGAGGACTGTCTCAAAGAGAAGGACGGTCCTTCTCCAAGCTCAAGCTGAGGTTCAGTGAGAACCCTGGGTGACCGAAGGTGCTGAGGAATGTGGTAAGGACCCAAGATTGACAGAGAAATGATGGCCAGGGAATGTGAGCCCCTTAGAAGCCACAAGGTCGGTGACATTGACTCTGCAGGGCGATTCTGCAGAGTGCTCCGGGGTGAGAAGGAGCAGGGATGTAAGATTTCACCATGTTGGTGGCTCGCCAAAGTCTCGCTAAGTAGGCCAGATCATGCCGAATAACAAATAATCCTAAGAGATGTTGGAGAGGAAAATTTGGAGGCATGCTCATTGTCTTTCCAGAAAAGCTTTGAGACCAAGATAAGTCACTCCTTCTCCCACCTGAGTGTGAGGCATGAGGTGCCATCCTGCTTAAGGATCAGGGAGAAGGGACAGAAGGCCCTTGCAAGCCCTGCACGGCACTGGGATTCCATGTTAAGTTTTCACTGTGGCGCTCTGAAACCTAGACAACAATCTGCTGTCTTGCCTCAGTCAGGAGCTGCACTCTCCTCAGTTCTGTTCAGGGACAGCCATTAAGAGGCCTTTGATGACAGAGAAGAATTAGGAGGTAACACGAGGCAGAGGCTGTGTTTTCTAGCTGTCCTGTACAGCTGTCCACAGAGCATCTGGTTCAGGGCTTGTCCGTGAGCAGATATTGTTAACTGACTGATGAACATTGAATAGACTCACAGGGAGAGACTCACCTGTCAGAACACCCACCTCTCCCTTCTCCCCTTTTCAAGTCTCACCTTCATTGACAAAGAGTTGCCAGTCCTGGATCAAGTCTTCCCGAGGCTCACTATCAGAGTAGGCACCGCACTGGTAGTGCCCTGCGTCCTCTTTCCTCAGGCCGGTGATATGCACACTGAAGAAGCCATTCTCCTTGGAGGTAAGCAGGACCCTTCCTTTAAAGTTCTCTGCCCTCGTCCCCAGGGTGTTGATGACCACTTCGCAGCTTTTGTCTTTGCTCACCCGGCACAGAAATTTGGGCAGATTTTCCAGCTTGGAGCCCAGGGAACAGTTAAAGGTCACCGAGCCCCTCAGGTCTCTATAAGCAAGCTGAGGGTCTGGCTTTAGCACTTGGAGGTGAACATCACTTTTGTCCATGCTGGAACCATCCCCAGTCTTGCAGACATATGTCCCAGTATCGCTGATCTTGAGATGGTTGATGACAACGCTGAATGCTAGTTGGCTGGTATCAGGAATCTCAAGGCGGATTCTTCCTTGGTAGCTGTTGCCGACGTTTTCGGTGTCGATGACTAGGAGACAGGCCTGGCCTCTCTTCTTGCACACGGACTTCTTCTTCATAGAATTCTCAGAACTAAAAGGGCAATTGATGGTCACTGTTTTGCCCAGGTCTTCTGTGTAGACTTGAGTACCATTTACGAAAGCAAAACCTGCAAGGTGAGGGGTGCGGGATAAGCTATGATTTGACTTTTTTTTTGTCACATAGGACTTCTCAGTGTTCCCAGTGAGAGTCTGGGTGTCCCTATCACTTGGAATGTCCTCCTCCCCAGAGGGACACCGTCACGATATGTCTTTCAACACCCAGCTGTATTGCTGTTTCCTCCATGAAGCCCTCCCCAAGCTGGCACTAATCTCTCTCCCTCCTCTACGCTCTCTTGATACTTACATCTGTATCACTTACACATCTAGTCTTCTGTATAGTTAATTATGTTGCCCACAGAGTGGAAGTTCCCCCAGAGCAAAGACATGCTTTTCTCATGCTTGACTCCCCTGCCTAGCTCCATGCCCTCACAGCAGGTGTCCAAATTAACATATGTTGACATGAACAGAATGAATGTAAGAATAGGGTGGTGGATTTGAGTGTATTGTGAGAGAGTTTCTGAAATTTAGAATGGTCTAAACATGGAACGTGCTTCCTTGTGAAGGAATGAATTTCTGCCATTTGATCAGAAGCTGCGTACCCATTGACACCAGTTCTTCTGGACATCCCCCATAGGGTCAACTTTAAGCTCTCCTTGGCTCTTAAGATTCTTCAAATTTATGAATTTCCATGACCACCTGAATCAACTCTTCATTGGGTCTACAGATAATACTAAGCATATTGCAAAGGAGCAAAACATATCCTTGGGTATCCCTCCAAATTCCCTCTCTTAAGACCTCTTTTTTAATTTCCCTTGATTACCTAAAATGCTCTTGTCATTGAGCCCTTGTTTCCTCCCCCCACCCCCTACTTTTCTCAATTAGAACATGCTTGTTCAGTGACCCATCCCTTCAGGGCCCTGGTCTTTGAGCAAGAACTGATCATCTAGTTTACGTGGAGAGTGTTGATGGACTAATGGATCCCAGGTTGGTTTTTTTTTAGTTTTTTTTTAAATGCCTGTTAAAAGAAGCCTTCTGGTGACCTGAGGTCTTGATCTAAAAGGCGCACTAGTGGTAGGAATTTAAGGATACCTCTAAATTTCTACCTGCCTTTTCTACCTCCCTCAGCTCATAGAGCTCCTGTCACACCTGCAACAAACACAACAAGAGAAATTGTCCTCCTGATGCTCTTCCAAGCTAGAGCCTTAGTAAAAGCCTAAAATGTTATAGGCCCTGAAGACCTAGAAAGGCCCACCTGCCACTCCCAAGTAGGCGTTATCCATCCCATTCCCATGTTGTATTTTGAAAAGCTCTTGCGTCCGGATGGAGAAGGACCCACAGCCTTCCCCACCTCATGCCAGGACTCCCTTCCCTCTCAGGAAATTCTTCCTCAAGCTCTCCTGCTGCACCTGAAATGATTCCCTCTCACTGCCCACAGAAGCCCAAGGAGGCTGGATCCTTACCTGGACTGACCCCCAGGCTCACATCAAAGAATAGGCCTTGGTTAACAATGCCCACACCACACTTGTAGCGCCCAGAGTCATCCTGGGTGAGATGGCCAATGTCCACCGCAAACGAGTTGCTCTCTGGGAAGTCGGTGAGGTTGGCTCTGCCCTCATAGTCCTTGGAGACGTAGTTCTCTGAGATGAGGGTTGTGCAGCGTCCCTTGCCTCCCTGCTTGCACCAGTACTTCCGGGAATGCCGATTGACGGAGGTGTCCGGGTAGTAGCACTTGATGGACACTGAGCCGCCTTCCAATCTGCTCACCTCCTGGGGACCAAAGATGGGACTCTTCATGGAGACCACTGTAGGGACAGAAGACAGGTTTTCTGAGGCCATGAAGGTAAAGGATCCTGCTGAAAGGATTCCGACAGCCCACCCTGAGGAGATGAAATTTCCACCTAACACGTGTGCCTTCTGTGGATTATTTACAGGTGCTACAGCTAGATGATTGGTACTATTGGGTAAAAGGATTGATTAGTTATTGTTAAAGTCTAATTGTAATTCATTAATGACAACCATTTTAAGGACACTGGGATACAAACGTATTTAATGCTCTCCCTTGTTTATTTTTTTAAAAAAGCACTTTTGTAGGGTGTTACACTTTCGCATTTGCTGTCTGTTATTTCCTTATATTTCTAAAAACACATTGTGGGTTAGTTTCTTGTTTTCTAGATAAAAATATTGAGAGCCAGAAAGGATAAGCCATTTTCCCAAAACCCCATAGCAACTCATACAGATGCTTGGTTCAAGGGTTTTGTTTTTGTTTTTGTTTTTTTTATAATTTCCAGTGAAGAGTAGACTCCTGGCCTTGAAATGAGGAATTGCTGTTCTTGTTTCTGATTGCCAACCCATTTTCAGACATGGCCTTTCCACAGTGTATGTGTGAATCTTTCTCAAGGCAATACAACTTTTGAAGGGGGCATCTTTGGGGATGGGCCTGATCTCAGTGTCCCCAGGGAATTGGATCCTGCGGGGAGTGAGCTGGGATCCAGCAGACTCACCTGGGAAGACAGCCAGCAGGCAGGCAAGGAAGAACAGCATCATGGCTGATGGCTCCCCTGGGGCTGTGCCGCCAGGCCAATCTCTTGCTTGGTCGCTGAAAAACAATAGCATGAGGGGTTGAAGCTCTTGCTTCCAAGACTAGTTGACCTTAGCGTTCCTGTGACACCTGTTTAGTTTTGTATGTCCAGTAACAGACATAAATCCTATTGAAAGAATGAATGGTCCTACTTTCCCATTAGAGCTCAAAGACCCATCACCTCACAGTGCTTTTTGTTCCTTAAAAGTTATAAAGTAGATTTTTGGGGCCGGCCGACTGGCGCGATGGTTAAGAACTGGCTTGGGACGCCAGAGGGCCCCGGTTCGGATCCCACATATGAGGGCCAGTGACACTGCCCTCTACAGCTAAGATGCTGAACAACAGCTCGACCTGGAGCTGGGCTGCGGTGAGTTGCCGGCGACGGCGTAGGCTGCAGTCCCTGTGGCAGTGGGTTGCCATGGGCTACCGTGTGTAGCCAGCAGCCAGCGTGAGCGGCCAGCAGCCGCAGTGAGCGGCCATCCAGAAGCCGGCGACTGATCTGCCTCGCCTGGGAAGAGCGCAATGATGGTGCCAACTTGGGCCAGTGAAGCAACGTCCTCCACAACTAGATTGAAGAACAAAAGGACAGCAACTTGTCTGTTCCCCTTCCCCCAATTTCCCAGCACTGTTCCCATCCCCCCAATTCCCCAATAAAAATCTTTAAAAAAGAAAAAAAAAGTTATACAGTAGATTTTTATCCTCTCAACTCATCTGCAAGCTCTTTTAGGACAGGGACACAAGTGCCATTTCTTCTGTACCCCTACCTGGGAGGCACAGTCCTGAGCAAGATCTGTAAGATGTCAGGAACAGCTCTGTGGATGGTACAAGCGGCCCCACCTCTCTGTCTCAGATGCCCTCCTAACATCCTTGGGAGTTGGAAGGGGGCTGGCATGTTTTATGGTGTGTTCGTATGAATAAACCAAGACCGGTAGAGGAAGGCTAGTAAGGATTAAAGTTGCAAATGTAATAATGATGGTCATAATCGCCATCAATTGTTCTCTTACCAATTGTTCCAGACATTTGTGAAATAATGCACGTGTGTTATCTCATTTAAACTTGATATCACCCCTGTGAGATGGGCATTCTTATCCACATTTTACATACGGAGAAATGAAAGCTTAAAGGTTAAGTCCTTTTTCTCAAGGTCACATAGGGATCAAGTGTGTGGGTGGGCAGGGTGGGAGTGAGGGAGGTAGGCAAGATTTGAACCCAGCTTTGTCTGACTCCAAAATCCAAGCTCTTAACCTCTCCCACTGCACTGTATTACACCTCAAATACAGCACCATGCTTATCCCTTGAGCCCCCATTGCTTATCAAAGCATTGTCATCTACACTATTTCACTGGAGCTTTATAACTTCCCTTTAAATAAGACAGAATGGATATAATTATAACCATTTTATGGATAAGAAAACCAAGATCTTGAAATGCTGAAGGATATGCCCACAATTTCCCAGAGACTTGGTAATGGGGTCAGGGTTAAAAATGTAGATGTTATGGCCTCAGTTATCCTGCCTGGTGAGGCTGGGCAGACGAAGATAGAGAATCCAAGACAAAGCCACTCAGATGGTGCAGCGCATGTGAACCTTGTCCCATCTGTGGACACAGCCTAGGGCTAGGGAGGGTTGAGGGTCCCACGGTCCAGCCTGACAGCTGTCTTCAGGGCCCAAGCTGCAGCCTAGAGAACAAGAAAGGAGTCCCCATGTTCCCACAGACTTTGACAGGCTTTAAACTTTGGAATGAACTTGGCAAGAGTGTTAAAGGAGAGAACCATGTTAACAGGCACTGGGCAGTAATGAGTCCCCATAAAGATAAGGAAGCTCAAAGTAGGAGGGAGTCCGGGACTGATCTCCTAGGCACCTTTTACTGTTTGGCCCCTGCTCCCCTCCCAGAGATTCCCTTCACTAGCTTGAGCCAAAGGCAATAGAGCTGTTTATCTTGGTTATTTCTTTTCCGTGGGGGAATTTCCCAGCAAGGAACCTTTTTATTTCCTTGTGGAGATAAAGGTATTGTGTTTCTTCACTTCTTTGGAAGAGGAAGGGGGAGTAGGTTAGGAGAGGTGGGGATAGATATGGGTGTCAGGTGGCTGCTTGAGGTTCTCTTGATGCTGGTTAATTGCCCTGGACCTTTCACACCAGGACAATGATTAACCTCTGAAGTGGGGCCTTAGCCAGACACCAGCTTTAGCCTCAACCTGGATGTGCTCAGGGGCTGGGGGACCACTTGAGTGGGCACTGGGAGTAACCATGGGGGGAGTCTCCCAAGCAGGAGCAGGTGTCAGAAGGCTGGGAAGTCTGTCTCCTCTAAAACATGTAGGGTGTGATGGCTGCAGAGTCCCAGGGAATCTACCATCTGCCATTTGCTCTGGCCTTGGATCAGTGGCAGGTGGGAGGACAAACTGCCACCGGCTGTTTGAAAAGCCCAAACCAGCAGTGTCTCTCCTTGATTCTGGTTCCTATTCTCACCTTTCGATAAGCAACCTTCCTAATATTTCCGTGGGATCGGAGTGGGTCTTCCCATGGGCTGAGCTGGTGCATGCAGACCTTCTCTGGAAAAAGTGATTTACTCTGGGTTACAGAGTCAGGTTCCAGGTTTTCCAATGGGGGTCCTGACCTCCTTCAGCCTAGGCTTCCTGTCATGTATAACATGCTTGGCTGTCTGTGGATGTCCACGCAGGGCGGGGGGGGGGTTACACGCGTGTACTCTTTGCACAGCCTCAATCTAGGGATGAAAGCATCAGGTGTGCACAGCTGGAAAAGCAAATCTGGCAGAGGGTGACCTTGGCGAGGAAACGCACAGTCCAGTCCTGGGAAGAGGATGGGAGAGTAAGTGCACCCATGCTCTCAGGAGCAGGAAATCTTTGCCCAAAGCGACACTAGAAGCACAATTTCTCTGCTAACAGCTGAAAAGAAAAACCCTGGGCCTGAGAATTGTTAGAGACCCTTTCCTTTCAAAACCAGACTTTGTCTCAAACCTGGGAGATTCATGTCTCATGGAGGTCCTAGTTCCATGGTGGCTGGAACTGGATTCAAAGGATTTGCTTAAGGAAGGAAGGAAAGAGCATAACACTTATTGGAGGCCAGGTGCTTTGCTAGCTTCTTGTCTTATATGACTTTATCTATCATCACAGTAACTGAAGAGATAGATATTATTACCTTCATGTTGCAAATGAGAAACCTGAGGGTTCAGAGACTCATAGAGGATTGAATCACTATCCTGTTATCATTCCCAGGATGAGCAGAGGGCTTGTTCTTTTGGAATATTCATAGGCTAGTATATCATGTAGGAAGGCACCTTCTTGGTCCTTAAAATAGGAGTTGTTTTTTCACTACTGAGGCTGGAATGTTCTAGACCTTTCTCATTTTACCAAGTTACTGTCCCTGGTATATTCATAACATATGTCTACGCAACTGTGGATTGGGGCATGGGTGTATAGCATGCTGGAGAATAGAGTTTGTCTCCTTATAAAATTAATCTACCTAGCTGTCTTTCAGTTAGAGTGACTGATCTTCAGCTCCCATAGCTTGGAGTTCAAACCTTTGTTCATCTAATCCTAGGTTTCTTCATTTTTCAGAGGGTGGGAGATCTTCCAGACCAGGTCCTTGCTTGGCTGCTGGTGAGCCACATGACCTTCAACACTCTGGGCTCTTTATCAGTTTGGTACACAGCAGAGGGGCAATTGATGCTCACAGCCCCAGGGGCTTCAGAGGGGACAGAGAGCATGCACTATGGGTACTTGAAGCCAACATGGTAGTTTCTGGGAACTTCCTGTGAGTGTGAACTTGGAGGAGCAAGAAGCTTGAAGTTCAGAGGAGTGAGGAGAGGATGGCTTGGCTGGGGAGGGGGCTTTCCTTGGCCTGGACTGAATGGCCCTTTCCCCTATTTCCCCTACTCACTCACTGCCTGAGTCCTTTGGGACTACATTCTCATCTCCCATGGGTGCAGGGGCCTAGCATAGACTAGAGTGAACCTGGAAACCGCAGGACCACTAGGGAGGGAGAGCAGTCTGTGTGATTTGGAACAGCCTCAGACTAGTGATACCAGGTAAGAGCTTAGGATAATTTATGTAGTTTATTTAAGCCCTGGAGTAGGGGAGCATCTCCCAGTAAAGGCAATGTAGGTGCAAGGGAATTGGAACTCCAGAGGGCAGTTAAATGGAGAGAGGATAGCCAAGGGGTCTGAAGAATGTATGAGCTAGAAAGATTCAAGACTTTTTGGTCCCATCCTTGTCAAAGTGAAGACTTAAGCAGAAATGAAGCATTTGAAATACCAGTTTCATGCTGGTCTGGGAATAACCTTGTGGATTTCCAGATGGCCTTTCAACAAAGACTTAGAACCCCGGTTATGGACTCCATCCCATTCTACTTGATGTGTAGATATTTATTTCATCCACTCTACCAGAGGTAGGCTCCTGGAAGGCAGGGGCCAACTAGCTCAATCTCTCCATCCCCAGAGGGCCTTGCATGAGAGGACCTGGCAAGGACAGCTGCTTGGCAAAGACCGATCAGATTGGGAATAGTTACATCCTTCATATCGCTGAGAAGGATAAAATCAGGACGGATTTCTCTCACTTTGCCAAATGCTTTCTTGGTTCTGCGGACTCAAAAGACAGTAGCATGAAGAGGAGCCCAGAGGATGGAGGAAAACCCAGAGCCCAGAGTCCTGCTCAATCACAGGCTACAGAAGAAGAGCTCTACCACTTAGGCTCAACTTCCTCATCTGTAAAATGGGCAGCATAGTCCCTGACTCTTCTAGATTGAAGGGCTATTGTGGGATGGGGGAATATGGAAGGGGATAATGGGATAATGTATATTGAGGCACTTTAAATAGTAGAAAGTGCTCTTCAACAGTAAAAGGGTGCAATTATACAAGCATAGGTCGATGAGGGTCTGTGCACTTGATTTCACAGTTGCTGTGTACTTGGAGAGTGGCACACAGCTTGAACTCATCAGCTTGGCTCTCAGCTCTTTCACCTGGGGGCTATGTGATATGGGGGCAGTCTGTTTAAACTCTTTGTGCCTCAAGTCCTCATCTATAAACTGGACATAATTGCACTTTGTATAAAGAGTCACTGTAAGGATCAAATAAAAAAAACATGGAGGGAGGGAGAGAGAGAGAGAGAGAGAGAGAGAATATAGTGTAGTGTCAGGATTTAAAAGATGTTAGTTTCTGTCCCANAGGAGAGAGAGAGAGAGAGAGAGAGAGAGAGAGAGAGAGAGAGAGAATATAGTGTAGTGTCAGGATTTAAAAGATGTTAGTTTCTGTCCCATCTACTCTCTAGAATCAATATAATTTTCTCTTTTTCTCATCTTAGAGTGAGAGGAGAACAGAAGTCTATTTATTGGGAATCCTTTGAAGACTGGGGTGAGATGCTTAGATTGGATCAACATGGCCTGGAAAAGGAGACATGTGCTATGGATTAGGTTAGAAATGGGGGACAGTAATTATAGCTGTCACATACTGAGTAATTTCCAAGTGCTTTACCTATGTTCACTCATTTAATCTCCACAGACACTCTAAGAGATAGAATTAAATGGGCAAAATCATTTCACAGATGAGATAACTGAGGCATAGAGAAGTAAGAAATTTGCCTAAGGTTACACAGCTGGTAAGTGACTGTGATGGGATTCAAATTCAGGTATTCTGGGTCAAGAGTATAAGTTTTTTGTTACTGTGCTATATTGTGAAGGGTCTTGAAGTTGAGGGGAAGCAGTTGCGAGAGGAGGGAAGAGGAAATACAATTTTAGAGAAGTTAGTTCAGTTCTCTGCTCTCTGCCTTTCACAAGAAATATAGTTCATATGAAGAGACACCTGAACCCAGAAGTAGGTGCCAACAGAGAAATTTCTTCCTGAAAAATAATAATAGCTGCTATTTATTGAGCACCTACCACATGTAGGGCATGTTGTATTTGTTTTCTGTAGCCAGACACATTGCGTCCAAAGCTTTTTTCTACTCTGATCACACTTTGTCAATGTCAGGGAATTTGGGACCCTGGCCCCAGTCCACCCAGAGAGAGGGCAAGATATAGATGACTGAGTCGGGGGGGGGGGAGTCTCTGCTGAGCACATGCATGGCTAATATTACTTTTAGAAAAGTTAGGTATTTTGTTTTCTAGGTGTTGTCAAAATGACCCCATGACCAAATCAAAATGGCTGGATCAAAATGTCTTCGTTTGTAAGTTTGAACTTACCCATCCACATTAATTCAAGGAGTCTTAGATTCCTCAACTGTAAAACGGATCATGATACTGTCCCTGTCTGCCTCTCAGGTTTGTTTCATGTGGGGATGAGGTGAAGCTGGGAAAGCCCGGGGTAAGTGGATTTACTAAGTGGAAGCTGTTGCTATCACACTGTCTATAAAATAATACCACAGAGATCTAGCAGTGCTAAGGAACAGGCAATGATCACAGAGCTGGATGCTCTCCTGACTCCTGGTTGATTGCTCTTTCTTCTACATCATCAAATCCAGACCAGGGAGAGGGATGGAGAGTTCCACAGCTGGCTCTGGGTAGATCAGATAGCTGCCTTCTATCCTAACCCAGGAATCAGCACATCCCCTTTCCAGATGTTAAGGAACCTGTAATTTCTCTAGTGAAGGGGAAAGCAATGATGAAGTCTGTGTCCAAAATGGGACCAGCAGCTTGGGTGGCCCCAGACCTGAGGGTAGTGGGGGATGGAGCTTGCACAGCTGCTGCGCTTGTGCCAAAGGGTCCCATGGCTGGCTTGGGGATACTGTTAGGATGGGCAAGGGGAGAGCACAGAGGTGGGGAGGCCTATGTCTGCAGAGCCAGGAGGAGCATCAGGACCCCGGAATACTGCCTGTGCCTAGGAGGGGGCTCTGCCCACCTTACTCATGTTACCTGGGAGGACCTAACTTTTCCCACCTTAGCAAGAGCAGGATACAGTGATACAGGTTATGCCTCAACGTGGCAGGAATCTGCTGAAGCAAAGCTGGGTTGAAATTAGAAAGGATCTTAGATCCTCCTGAAACTCTCATAAAGGGGCTACAAGAGCCCTTGCCAGAAAGCTGGAGGAGGAAAGCGCCAAAGACTAGAAGGGTTGCTGCTATGTGCCAGGCACTTTATATGCATTATCTTATCTAGGTCTGCCTGATGCTCAATAAATCATTGACTAATTGACTAAATCAAAAAACACCAAACAATTGTTATTTTGCTCTAGAGTTTTCAAAGGAATTTCACACATATTTTCTCATTAGAACCTCACATCAATCCTAAGTGATAGGTGTTATTTTTATCCACATTTTACAGGTGAAGACACTGAGGCCAGAGCGCTATTAGATAACTTACCTAAAATCACACCATTAACCTATGGAAGAGTCAGTAGGGAATTCAGAGACCAAACTTAGAGAATAACTATACATATTGACCACAGGCATTCCTTCTTCCCACCTGCTGAAATTTTGCACACAAGGGGTAGGGGCTCCTACACACGTCCGTCCTGACTCATCTCCCTGGGATACGCACTTCTACTCCTGAACCACACACTCAGACACACAGGCTGCAGCCCATGTCCTCCTCACTCCGCTCTGCGAGCCTGGAAGTTGTGAAATATAGGGGATTGCCTGAGCCACCATCCCAGGCCCTTCCCATATGGCATCCCATCTGGGGATCCCAGAGCAGCCACACTTACTTTTAGCCACTTCCTTCTCTCCCGTCGACTCAGTTTCGGAGGGATAGCCTGGTGACCACTCCACAACCCTGTCTTCCTAGAAGCTGCCAGCAGGACACTGGATGCTGCTGCCAAAACTGAAACTATGTGCAGTGCTTGACCCACACCTGGGTTCTTAAAGGGACACTCTCCCACAGGCATGGCGGCCAGCCAGGGGCACGTGACTCTCACAAATCCCTTGCTTTCCTTCCCCGTCAGCTTTCCTGGCTGCCTCCATTTGTTTCCCCTTGACCTTGGGAGGACTGTTACATGGGACTCTTCCATCATTGCAACTGTAGGATTCGAGACAGGGTATCCAAGCGCAAAGAGTCATTTCTGCTGCTTTCTACCGGCAAGACCCTAGGCAAGTCACCTTCATATTTCTTTTCATCTGGAAAATGGGGATAGTAACACCAAACCTATAGGTTGAGGATATAACCAGATATCAGATGTAAAACAACTGGTGCGGAGCATGGTATGAAATTGATACCCATTTGATGGGGCACAGGTGGCAGGAATGGCTCTCATGTCCCTCCTCGCCCGGGAACACTGTGCCCCCCTCCCTAGGATGCTTAGCCTGGATTGAGTCCACTCTTCACACACCTTCCTTAGAGCCCTTTTACCAGCTCCAGTGCCTCCAGGAACTTGGGAGACCGCAGCTCTTCCCTTTTCACTCTCTAGAGGAATGAAAGACTCTAGCCTCTTCTGGGCGCCTCTGAAAACAGCGAACCTCAGAGTCTTGTCAGGACCTGGGCTCACACCACAGCAAAGATAGTGCTGATCTGCTGAGAGGGGGTAGAAACCTTCCTTGCCTCAGTTGGCTGGTCTTCTGGTCATGACCAGGTTAGGACCCCCGGGCATTCCCCAAATGATCTGAGTAGTCCTTTGTCACACAGGGAAGCCCACTCTCAACACACACACACATGGCCCCCACCCTATACAGAATCCTGCCCCATCCTACCTGCGCAAGGCTGAGCCAGACTCTCCCTCCAGCGTCCTACAGGCCAAACTTCAGAAGGAGAAAGAAGAAAGGGAAAATGGAGTCCCAGAAAGCGTAAGGCAGTCAGAGTCCTGAGTCTTATTTTATAATAGCTCGCACTCACTCACGGGTGGGTATCCACCCACAATCATGGATTTGGGTGGCAAGTAAAGAAACCATATTTTCTATTACAGAGTTTAATTTTAGCCCCTATACCCCAAATCTGACTGATATAAGGAAAAATATGATCTAGTTACTTCCAGGTAAACTCAGTCCAGTTCAATGATATCTCAGTCACTTCACTCCCGATTTAAAACTCAGTCTCATTCTGTATTTTCTCTCCTTTTTGTCTCCCTTCTCTCCCCTAAGGTTTGTGTTAAGTCTGGGGTAAGTGGGCACAGGTGAGTGCCGCCTACGCCGGAGCTCCTGTGGAGGTGGTAAGAAGGAGTGCCCCATTGTTTTTCCTCTTGCTTTGTCATGGTTCTATGTTGGCCTTGTGCTCCAGAAGGAAACAGTCCTGTCCCCAAATAGTCCTAAACAGCCCGAACAGAACTTGTCCTGCTGGTCAGGGGCCTTTACCTAAGAGGTCTACGGGCCACTTTGTGCTCTCCTCGTCCCTTCTCCTGGGCTTCTTCGGGTAGGACTTCCGGGCCTCCTTTCTTGCCCTTCTGTGGGTACAGGGTGAGTTTGGCTCTCCCGTGTCTTTCCGAGTCCTCTGGGGACCCTGAGCAGCGAGCGTATTTTTTCCCTGCAGCTTTCTGTGCCCCATTGTTCCCATGTAACTGGGGCTGCAATGGGTATTGGAAAGACAGCTGACCGTCCAAGTTGTATACAGGACATGCAAGGTGCAGGCCTCCTTTGTTCTGGTGTCTTCAAATGCTGAATATTTTCATCATTGTCAATCTCCTCTCCCCAACTGCAACCCTGGACTGAGCACCATGGTGGTGGGTGGGAGGGCACAACGACATATCAATAGCTAAGTCATCTTTCTTCCCCCTCCAAAATCTTTCTCCTCTCCAGTTCCAGTTTTAATTTTATTGTTTGTTTCAGGTGTACAGAACAATGCACTAGTTACCCTTTTCACCCTCACAAAGTAACTACCCCCTTTCCCCCCCCTCTACTGCCCTCCCACCCCCGATATCATGCTTATCTATTACAATTCCATTGACTCCATTCCCACTCTCTACTCCACGTCCTGTGACTATATGTATATATAATTATAGTTGACATACATTATTATTCAACATCAGCTTCAGAAATACAGTGCGGTGGTCAGGCCTCTACACCGACTATGAAGTGGTCTCCCCAACAAGACATGAGTCCATCTGGCCCCCTAAAAAATATTTACAACATTATTGATTATATTCCCCAGACTGTCTTTTCTATCCCTGAGGCCATATTGTAGTTACCAATTTGTATTGTCTCATCCCTTCCCCTTCTCTTTCATCCCCACCCCCTCCCAACTAGCAACCCTCGGTTTTCCTTCTTACACCTCTCGTTTGGAACTCAGTCATCAAGATATTTGTGGGTTTTGTTTTCTTATTTTTCATGCACTCACTTCCCCCAAAGCAGGGGATAACTTGTGTCTAGTCCCCTGGGCTGGAGTAGGGGTTAAGGGAGGCGCATTGAATACTAGGACAGAAACGTGATGAGTGTCGGGAGGGAAGGAGGCACATGCATGAAACTGGCTTCTCATGCTGCCTCGGGGGCCCCAGATCTTCTTCCCCGTTCCCTTATTCTCTAATGGTGTGACGTTTTCTGGATCATGTCGTGGTGTGTGTTCCCGAGTCCCCAAAACTCTCTTAGTAGACTATGTCACACACAGACACACACACAGACACACATAGACACACACACACACACACACACACACACACACACACTCCTCACCTGGCCTATGACCCAGCTTAAGAAAAGGGGAAAATGAGAAGTAGAGTCCAGGTAAGAAACAGGAAGTCTAAACCCTATTTTGGGTTTAGCCACACGCTAGTGGTGTGATTGGAGTCTCCCAGCTTCCCGTCTCTCATGGTGCTTTCCCCATGTGGGACTCAGTGACCTAAAACATCACCCCTGTACCATAGTCCCGGGGGCGGGGGAAGGGACCAGCCAAGAGGGTCCAACTGTCCAATTCAATAATAATGATAACAACAGTCATACCTTCCAAAATTTATATCACTTCATTTGCTTAAACGCTCCCCCTCTCGTTTAAAACAACAATATGAGAAGCATATAATAATAAGAACAACTTCTTATTTGACTTTCATAACTCTGGACCTTGGCATGAGTCAGTGTGGGTATTGCATTGGCCTGGGGTCAGAACTCCTGTGTCCTGGTTCTGTTTCTGCCTCTAATTTGCTGAATGACTTCTGCCAAATCACTTCCTCCTTTAGGGCTGGGCCAAATGGTTTCCAAGGGCTTTTGCAGTTCTAGGATTCTGTGTTTTGACTGAGCACCACATTCGTTTACTGTGACTGCTGTAAAAACTTACCATAACCTTGGTGGCTTAAAACAACTTAAATGGATTCTCTCTCAGTTCTGGAGGCCAAATGTCAGAAATCAAAATGTGAACAGGGCCACGCTCCCTCTGGAGGCTCAAGGGAGAATCTGTTCATGTCCCTCCTAGCTTCTGGTTGCTGCTGGCGTTTCTTGGCATTCTTTGGCATGTAACTACATCATTCCAATTTCTGCCCCCCAATCTTACATTGCCTTCTGTGTGTGTCTGAAATGTTTTTCTGCCTCTCTCTTATAAAGGCACTTGGATAGTCCAGGATGATCTCCTCATCTCAAGAGCCTGAATTTAATCACATCTGCAAAGACCCTTTTCCCAAATAAGGTCACATTTACAAATTCCAGGTATCAGGAGGTGGACATGTTTTCAGGGGGTGGCATTTTTCAGCCTTGCACTACGCTCATGACCAGTTCAAGGTCCAGGGAGATTTGAGACATGCATGAATGTGCATCCCTGTGCCCCAAGGGCTTTTGGTCTAACTGAGGAATCACCATCCCCCCACCATCACCACCACCACTGCCAAGGAGAACACCAGCCAAGCATTAGCCAGCATGGAGAGGCAGTGCAGACTTGTGGGAAGCTCGCAGGCTCCAGACCTAGAACAAACACCCTAGGTTCACACTGAAGCTCTGCTCACCTGCCAACCAGGAGACCGTTGCCAAGTTATTTAACGTCTCTGAACCTCAGTTTTCTCATTTATAAAATGGGGTTAATTATACTTATTCCACAAGTATGTTGTAAAGATTTAAGTATCACATGTGCAGTGGCTGGCATCTACTACGTGCTTATGATTCAGCTTTAATGAATGGGACCACATAGGCTTTCAGGACAAAACGTTGTTCCCCACTGATCAATCAATGAGGATTCAAGGGCAGAGAAGTGGAGTGACTCGGCCAAGTTTACCCAGTGAGGTAATGGCGTAGATGGGTTGAGAACCAAAGCCTTCCGGCATTGGGCATTTTCCTCCACTTCCCAAAGCCTTCATTCTCCAGATGAATCTTTTGAACTGTGTTTCCATAAGCAGCAGAGGTCTCCCATTTGCACCTTCTACTGATCCTGGGAAGATTGGAGAGGACCGAGCACACAGTCCTACACAGGTCCAGCCCGTTATGTTGGCATCATTAGCTTGATGCTTCAAGACCTGGGTTGACGCAGCCACCAATAGAAGGGGAGACCTAAGCCATACAGTCCTTCCCCAGATCTTCACTGCCCTTCTGGCATCCCTCACTGCAGACGGTTCCTATGAATGTTGCGTTAGAGCGAGATAAGAGCGGACAGATGAAATGCCTATCACTGCTGTTTACTGCCAGCTCTCTGCTCCCACGTGTAGATCTTTGGCTGAGTCAATGTTTAACCCCTGTCTGTAGTCAATGTTTAATCCCAGGCCAGTCAGCCCTGAAATCCAGCATTCCTCAGTAAGCCAATAATATAGTCATTTTAGTATCAATTACTGGAAAATAGAATCGTGACAGTGCATTTACCAAAGCTACATAGCAAGCCCCTGCTCCTTTTTAAAAAGATATTGACTAGGATTATCTATGCCGAAGTAGCTACATCCTCACCACAGCAGATGATGCTCTGGTATTTCCTGACTCTAGCTGTCATCCATTGGCAGGGGTATAGCACCTACTCTTTCTGTTTTAATTTCAACTTTTGGGCTGGGGAGAGGGCATGGGGTGGGGACTTCTGCTCTGTGGTGCAGCTGAGTCTTGCTGGCTGGCCACATGGCCCCCAGTGTGGCTGCTGCTTGGAATCTCACTAGGAGAGCGGGGACTGGATTAGGCCTGCTGGCTGGGCTCGGGCAAGCTGTTTGGGAGTTTCTGAGCCCAGACTTCTGTTCAGAGGCCTGAGCTTTTTCTCAGGTGAGTCTCTGTTAGGGAGAGTAGGAGGAAAATTAATCATAAATACTCCATATTTGCCTGGCTATTGGGTGACTTCATAGGGACTCCCCGGGGCCCTTTTTAAGGAGCCTGGAGCATGGCATGTGTGATCTGGCAGTACCTTGTCAATGCCAAAAACAGCCTTAATGAGGGAAAAATCAGGAGATGACAAGCTGGTGGTAGGTGTGTGGAGAGTGGGGCATGGGGGAAAGGGCTGTGACCTTTCTATGCATAGTGTTGGAGAGGGTCACTTACTGGCCGAATGTATGCCTGTGAGCCTCAACTCTTTTCTTTTCTACAGGTACTCACTGAGTCACCTTCTTCTCCCTGACAATCTACCTCCATGTGTCACTGCCCAGACGTCCAATCCTTCACCTGTTTTCCCGGCTCTGTTGACTCCCAATCAGAGAGTGAAAACAACATTTCTTCTGAGGCTTCCAGGAAGGAGAGTATCTGCACTCTTTATGGTTTTGGCTGTCGGAGGAGTGGAGGCAGAGACTGTGGTGGGAGCCCCCTGAGACTGGCTGTGTCTTGCCCTGAGGAGGTGGTAATTTGTGGAAAGCAAAGGAGCGGTGAGCTGAACTGAGAGCCTGGCAATGCAGAGCTGCTCTTGGTCCAGAGGCTCTCTCAATCCCTCCTGGGCCAGCCCTGGGGCCCCAGAGAGCTTTTACCCTCTAGTACTGAGAGGCAGGAGCCGAGGAGCCAACCTTTTCTGAGGTTACCAAACCACTCTCTTGCCCTCTCCCGCCTCCGTACCCTGGCCAGGGAGTGGGGAAGAAGGAAGACTTTTGGAGTAGACATCCAAAGTCAACAGGTGAGGTATCAGGTGACAGGCCACAGCCCCTCTCATAAGCCACTGGTGTCCTCCTGAGGACTTGCTGTTTCCCTGTTCCTGGCTGAGCCTGGACTCCAGCCCAGGGTGTGCCTGGCAAGCAGACATTAGAAAAATATTCTGTGCTCCCCCGTAGCCTGTGCCCATCTGAGCCTCAACACTCCCTTCTGTACCATGGTGTACAATCTGCTTCTTTCTGGGGATGTGTACTGTAATTATTTTTTAGTTGCCTGCATGAAACGGGTGGATGAGAGGGCTGGCAAAATAAAGAGTTTAGAACCGTGGCATTTAGAGAATCAGCCTGCCTTTCCTATGCCAGGCTCTCAAGAAGCCAACCCCCTGATGCCCTTTTCCTGAGCTCCTGACAGACGTGAAGTACATCATCTTCTCACAAATTGTCTGGCAACTTGGAAAACGCCTCGGTTGTGGTAGTCCTGGTTCTCTTCTTCTTTTGTAAGATACTCAGTGTTGAGGAGCCAGGCATTTGTAACACTGGGGAAAGGAGTTGCTCCTACTTGACCCTCTACACTCAACAGGGCCGATAGATAGCTCTATATTGAGGCAGCGAATCAGCAGGGGATGGGAACTTAGTCAGAGGTTGGAAGAGGCAGGACACAGAAGACTCCAGAGGCTAATTAGGGAATGTGCGTCTGCAACGAAAGGGGTCCAGGAGGCAAACAGCGGCCTGCTGGCCCAGTGCCTCAGCCGCATGACTTCTGCATGCCTCCGGAAGTGTGGCACAGCGTCCTCTCCTGCCGCTGGTACCTCTCTGCTGCCCATCTGGGTTTCAGCTGACCCCTTGGAGAGCAGGTCGTGCGGCAACAGTTCATCCTCTTGCTGATAGTGAGGGGAAGTTTGGCCTGGAAGGGCCAGCGCCTGTAAGAGAAGTTGTGTCACTTTATGAAAAACGGAGAGTTTGGTGACACTGGATCTTGCATGCAGGGCCACACACAGAGTCTGTTTCCTTTTTGATTCTCCAATCAATGTTTGTCAAGTTGTTTGCCTTGGGATATCTGTTCCAATTAAAAGTAATCATGTAATCTGTATCTACTTGGCTGAAGTGCATTATATATAGGTCTTTCCATGGAAATACCTTCCTTTTTGTGTCTAACTGAAACTGCTAAAACGGCTCTGTATTTCCAGACTGCACTGGCCACTGGAAGAGAAGAAGAAACCCCCAAGGTCTTAGTGGAGAATAAGGAAAAGTTGGCTGAGGGTCAGGTGTTTGCCCTGAATTACCCCCACAGGTAATTAAGATCTGAGCTCTATTTGTACAAATGCAGTAAGGACCTAGGCTGGTGACTGACTTTTTAGCTCTTAGTTCCAGCTTCCTGAACTTTTATACTTCATTTAGCCAGTACAGGAATAAGCCAGCGAGGTGGCTGAACTGAAAATGTTTATGCATCTTTCTACACACAGGTCTAAAAGAGGAAAACAAGGAAAGCTTTGGAAAAGACCTGAACAGGTACACAGGGCATAAACCCAAGCATGGAGGAAGGCAGAGCGGTGTATTGATCAAGGATTTAAGCTGTGAGGGTAGACTGCTTTGCATTCAGTTCCCAGCTTGCCCTTTCCCGAGGAATGTCACTACTTAATTTCTCTGGCTTCAGTTTTCTCATCTGTAAAACGGGAATTATCATACTTACCTTACAGAAATGTTGCATCAGATGCAATAACAGAACGTGAAAACACCTAAGATAGTGCCTGCTGTGTGAAGACACTTAACAAGTAGTGGTGGCATTAATAATAGAGGGAGAGAACTGAAGAGTTGTGCCCTCACCTGGAGAACCTGCTAGATCATAGGAAAGTCAGTGCTCCCCTGGATCTTGGATTAGAAATCTCCATGGACACATCCCTGATTCCAGCCTGGTCATAGATGTTCCCCTGCCTCTCATCCTGGTGATGTGGGTGTCATGCTAGCTGGGGAATACAATAAAAAACAAACCTCAGCCACCACCAACTGGTGGAGTTGGCCGGCTTTGCCTGTTTTGCTTTTGGCCCTTTAAATCAACTGCTTGTGCCCCCTTCCAGGCATCGACCGGCCCATAAAAAAACAGCTATAAATACTCAGGGCTGCCCCACTTCCTTCTTGACAAAGATTTCACTCAGATCTTATCTCTGCCCAGCTCCTTGGCCCCCCGAGACTCTGATCTTGGCTCTGCTCTGGCCCTTCGAACTTGTACTGGCTTGTCCCGCTGGTGGATCTCAGCTTTCCCTACAGCACCCTCACTAAACAACCTTCCCCACTTCTGGAAGCTGCCCCTGACTCCAGACACTTGGCCAACACCCTTGCCGAGCTGGTCTCTTTCTTCTCCTAAGATGGGCCGTCAGGCAGCACATCCTAATTGCTAAATCCCAGACGGAAAGTATTATAGGAGTTCGGAGGAAGGGAAGGTCACTGCGATGTGTGGTCTGGGAGCTTTTGAGGAAGAGTGGCGTCTGATCCTTCACATCAGAGCAGGGACAGGAGAGCCATGTATGGTTTTATGGCTTACTGCAGGAATTGGCAAATTATGGCATGAGAGCCAGGTCCAGCCTGCTACCTGTTTTTGTAAAGAACGTGTTGTTGGAACACCGTCAGCCATTTATGTGTTGTCTCTGGCCACTTCTGCACTCCGACAGCAGAAATGAGTGATTGTGACGGAGGCTGACGACCGGTAAAGTCTGGAATATTTACTAGCTGGCCTTTGTTAAAAAACAAAATTCAGTGGAGTAAAAATTTAAAGATCTTCCTGGCTTTATTCAATAATTTATGAGTTGGGCAGCATCCTATCCAGAAAATAAAAAGGAGCTCCGAGGAGCCGTACAAAATGACAGGTTTTTATAGGCAGAAGGGAGTGGGAGAAGCAAGTCATACCAGCAAAACCAGAATTGGTGGTGGCAGAATCACTTCCTTTCGGCAGGGGTCCAGGAGGCAGATTACCTCAGTAGAGCTGGCCAGGTGATTCCTGATTGATTGGTTTAAGTAAGATTCCAATTTTGGGAGAGGCTGAAACTATAATTAAATCAAGTCTCTTTTTGGTGCTATAGGGCTTAGCATAAGTGACTCCATTTTGGGCCTGTTGTTTTGTTTTTCATACGCTTTGCAGAATTTGCTGACCCCTGGTTTATCGCATCAAGCTTCCCTAAACAAGGGGGTGATGTGGGGAATGCGGGCCTGTGAGACTGCTTCACCGAAACACAATATTCCAAAGTGCTGGGGGCAAGCGTCGGGTCTCCCACCCCAGGCCTGTTCACAACGCACCTTAGTGTATTGAAGGCGTCAACAAATCCTATGTGGAAAAGAAGCTGTTACTGTTTAACCCTCATTAACCAAACTTCTTTGATCTACCGAACCGACTTTTTCTCAGAATAATGTGGACGCCCCTGGTAAACACCAATTAGGGGGAATGATCCTATGAGGACTGGTTCTTGGCCCATCCCCGCCTCTAATGAGCTAAGTGACCTTGGCTAAATCACACACCCCTCAGGGCCTGCTTCTCCATTGGTTAAATGGGTTAATGGCTATTCTATCTATCTCGAGTACAGGCTTAAAGGCAGGTCACTGAGATAGTGTACATGAAAAAGGTCTGGTGCAAGAGGACGGTGGTGTCATTAATTTTTTTATTAGTGTTGCATATATATAATTAGTAATGGTGAAGTGGAGAAGGCACTAGGTCAAGGTCCTGAGTTCCCTTTTCTAGTCCTCACTCGGCTGTTACTGAGTGACTTTCAACAAGTTACTGAGCCCCCCACGCCCCCTCCCGCCCCGGGCCTCAGTAACCTCACACTAGGCTGAGGCTTTTAGATTGGCTAGCTCTGAATTCCATGATTCCATTTGGTTAGATGCTTATCCCCTACTTATCCCAAACAATGGGTCTCTTTCTCACAAACCATGAAGACAACATCTCCTTGATTTTCTTGGGACCATGTCTGGGTTCAGCACCAGCTATGGTGAGGAGATATTGACAGATGGTTTCTGGTGCTGCTGACAGCTTAGGGGGCAGGGCTCAGCCTTCTGGGAATGTCTCCCTGACAATTCTCGACTTGATATTGGAGCCTTTTCCTTCTCTTCCATTGCTCAGAGGCTTTGTTGCCCAAACATGAAGTTCAGGCAGCTGGTGAACAGATTTGGAATAAAATAGCAAATGTGCCTCCTAAAAAGACATGGGGACCAAGCGTGGAGCAAAAGTCCCCCAACAGGCATGAGATGAAGTGGTTCAAAAGCAGAATCCACATCAAATTCCTCTTGGCGACCTTCTCTCTTACCACCACCCCTCCCAACCATTTTTCAGCTTCATCAACATCTTTGCTATCAAGGAGTTATAAGCAGTTGAATAAGAAGAGCTTTGTGAAGGAGGAGAGGCTTTACTGAAAAATACCCTCCTCCTCCATGAATTTAGGAAAATCCAGAAAACCTTGACTGGGTCAAAAGGACTACAGCTTGATGAGTTTGGAGCCAAATGGGAAGGGATGATTTGAGGACTAGGTGCTGTTCCTTTTGATCTCTTTGTAGAAACCACCTGCCTATGGAGTCATACAGGGGACTCCCAAATGAAGGGGGAGTCAGGGCATCTGCATGGACAGAGTCCCCAGAGGCCACTGAGCCCATGCCCTTCCAGTCAGCCATTCAGTCACAAGTATTTATGGGGGCGCCTGCTAAGTTGGAAGTTCTCTGGGGACATACTGAGATGGTTAAAACACAATTACTGCCAGAAAACACAATTACTAGCTCAGAATCTACTAGTACACATATGGATATAATTCACTGTGTGCAGCAGGCTGAATGCTAACAGAAAAAGGGGCAATTAGCATGGGCTAGAAGTGATGGGTGAGAATCTGTAATTCCTCACACTGATTGGAGACCTATTAAATATTCAAATCTCCAGGAATGGAAACTCCACACTTTTCCTAGGTGACCTCCACCAGTATTTAATAAATCCTTTCTCGAAGCCTTCTTTGCACCATTCTGTCACCTCTGGCTATGGAAAACGCTTGGCCTCCATAGGCCCAAGGATGGTCAGGCTTTGTTTTCCCAGGTGGAGCTCCAGCTCCATTAGCTTCTCTTTGTGCAGGTGGAGGAAGGATGAGAAGAGGCTGGGGTCATGGTGTTCGGTCTTGGTTCCCCTTCCATGGTGATCAAACAGCATATTCTTCCACTCCTTAGGGTTCAGCGTCCCTCTCTGGGACAGTCATGGTGGCCTGGATAGGAGGAGAGTCATCCTGGAGCGTCTTCCTTGTCACACGGGGCCGCGGGTCTGGCTGGAAATGTGTCATCTGAATCAAGGTGACCCCTGCTGCCTTTTCTGTCTCCTGAGCTACACAGACACAGAACATGTTGTGAGCATACTGGGTACTATACTTGGTTCTCTGAGAACCACCCCCACTCACCACAAGCCTTCAACAACTTCCTGATACAGAAGTACAATTGAGCCTTAGATTGACCGGGACTGGGCCAGGCCTTCAGGGCCCTAAGCCTGAGAATCTTGGCCTCCTCCACTTGCTCCCAGAAAACCTCCCCCTTTCTTTGCCGGATCTAAACACCATGGAGCACTAACTTTAAGAGTATCTAAACCTGGGCTTGTTGCTGTAAGAGACTTTCAGTTGGCCCATACACAGGGTACAAATGTAGTTTGATCCCATATCTGGACCCTGCATTCTTGCTGTCCGCTGCTGGGGTTACTCATGTGATTCATATGCTTGTGGTGTATGTCTTACCATCCTCGGAAGAGCTCGTCCTTAAGCTCTGGGCTGCCATTGAGACAAGTACAAAGCCCATATTCCCATTAGACTGATAAAGACACCAAGGCCAAGAATGGTTAAACGGCTCAGAACTTAGCACTTCTACATCCAGAAATACTGGCATCAACCGTGACTCCACCTGGTCCTGAGGGTGTCAGATGGGAATCAGCACGGTTCCCCCGTCCCCCTCCTACACACACACTCTTCCACCCCAGCCTTGGGGCAACTTCAACCCAACTCACACGTCTTCCTTCTCCGGAGCTTCCTTTGCAATAGAACAAGAGCCACAAGTGGGAACAGCACCGCAGAGACTGGAGTCAGGATGCGAGAGAGGTGTTTCTTTTCTGGAGGAGCACTGGAGTGGAAGCAACAGGGGTGGCGAGGGGAAGAGGACAGGAGCGGGGAGGCAGAAGTTGGGTAGGAGACTGGAGGCCGTTTGGCCCTCACCCCTCCTTTTACAGGTGAGAAGCTGAGGCCAAGGTGAGCTGGCTGCCCTCATTCCCATGGCGGGTCAGTACCAGAGCTGGGACCACTACCAGAGGCCCTGTCTCCAGATCCCTGAGCCCTGGCTCCCCCACCTGTGTGCAGGCCCCCTGACGCGCCACAGTGGGAACGAGGCCTGAGAGGCAGGCGACCGACCCTGGGCATTTGGCTCTGCCACAATCTTTCCCTGTGGCTTCAGCGAGTCACCTCCCCTTTCTGGGACTTTTGTTCCTCATCTTTAAAAAAAAAAAGTCACAAGGGTTCTGTTGTATTCTGTTATTCTATTGCTTAGATTTTTGCTTGCGAACCACATGAAACTACTCAGATTCTCCTAGCAAAGACCTTGAATGAGGGAGGGCATCTGATTTTTATGTCCCTTGCCCTTTACAAAGGGAGAGAAGCCAGCGCATGGAGAGGGGCACAGAGGTCAGCTCACTGAGGGGTGTGCCAGGGGCAGGGGCAGATGTTGAGTTCTGATTGAGTGGAGGGCCTGGGGGTTTACCTCTTCATAGAGGAACCCTTGCCCGGGAGCCTCAGGGGTCCTGCTGCTGGGTCCTGGCTCGAAGTTGCTTGGGTATCACTGTATCCAGCAGGGGTGTCTAGGTCCCCTTCAGTGCTTCCTTCTGCAGATGCCATATCTATGCTGGTGGGCCCCAAGACCCACATACCTACCGCGGAGGTCGTTCCTTCAGCGGAGCCCAGGGCTTGTGGCTTAGAAACCAGTCTTGTTTCTTGGAGGGTTGTCCACACTCGTTTTTCTGAGACCAGAGTTGAGGGCCTAATTGTTCCTATGACCGTCCAGTCTGCATCCAGGGCTACTTTGGCCCTCTCCAGTTCCTCCCTTGGCCTATCGGCCTCAGCAGTTGTTACTTCTCTCCCTTCCTCACTGGCTGTAGACCTGTTTGCCACTGAGCTTTTGGTGCCCTCTATCCAAACGCCTTCTGTTGTATTGGACACGTCTCTGGTTGTTGAAGCCACACTCTCTGGAGTGGGGACTGTTGCCCAGGTAGAAGTCTCTACCTGGCTAAATGTCCCTGCAGCTACAGCCCCAGTGGTTCCTGGAGTTTGTCTTCCCTTAGCTGAAGCTGTTCTTTTGCTGGTTTCTGGAGTGGGAGCAACTCTATCCCATCCTGTCCCCTGCCTTTCTGTAGTCTGAGTGGTCCCTGGGGTCCAGCTGTTGGCCGCTGAAGATGCCATTCTAAAGGCTCTCCTGAGGAGCTCACCAGCAGCTGGAGTGACTCTGGAGATAGTGCTGGGAGGACCTGTGTGGACAGCAGAGGGAGACACATGAAAAGACGACACTGTTGCCTACAGGACGTAGCAAAGGATGCCAGGCTGAAAGTGTTTGCTACGTGGAATGCAACCTCACTAAGTGATACAGCCTTTGACCAATGTGTTGGATAAAATAAAAATTTGTGAAAACCAGATGTATCCTCTAGGCTGTTGCAAATATTGACTTTTTATGGTCCCATCTCCTTTTTTATGCTCACATACTCTCTATCCAAGCTTTCCAGGGCCCCTATACTGCCCCTTTTCCCAGAAACCCACCCCTCACCATGTACTACTCTTTAAATTAAAAAAAAGAAAAAGAAAAACTCCAGTGGCAGTAGAGGGGCCAGTCTCAGCAGGTGGTTAGGAAAGCAACACCGGATAAGGCAAACGCACTTGCAGACACTCGTGCCTGCCTGCTCCCTAACGGGCCTCTCTCCTGCAGATTGGCCTTCACAGCCTGGATGCCATTCCTCGGAGTGGATGCCTGACTCTGGGTCAGTTCTCCAGAAGCTGCCTCACAGGGCATGGACCTGGTAGCTGCCAGGTGTCTGCTGAGGGGCTCAGTCTTAGGACGAGCCCAGTCCCGATTCTTTTGTCCTGTCTGTCTTACCTGCTCTGCTTGTCTGAACAAAGAGACACCATGACTGTAAGCAACCACGTTACCCGATTCGCTACCTTCTTGGAACTGGCTCTAAATGTGTATGTTACCCATTCGGGGGGAATTGGATGGGATAACTGACATGCACTCAGTTGGGAAATTTTCGCTAATATCTACCTTCCTTCTGAAGGTAGTTTCCATAGAAATGAAAGCCTTCTTCTTGAAGTGCTTGCCTCGTTCCAGCATTTCCTCATTACACCCCTTGTGGTTAAAGCCCTCTTGGACCTCTCCACTCTCTTGCACCTTCTCCTTCCTGACACCCACTCCACCAACCTTGACCCATCATCCATCAGCCCGTACCTGCAGACACATTCAGTCTCATGCTGAAGAACAGCATGTTATTTCTGTCTCCGATACCACAGCGATAGGACCCCACATCATCCGGGGACAGCTGGGACAGCCTCACCACAAACAAGCCGCTCCGTGGGAAGTCTGCTAGAGCCACACGGTCACGGTAGTGAAGGTGAGTGTAGTGATTGGTGGACACAATGGTGCGGCAGAGCCCCGTCCAGGGGCTTAGGCGGCACCAGTACTTCCTCTGGTGCTTGTTGATGGGCGAGGGGGTGTAATGGCACTGGATGGCGACAGTGTCCCCGGGCTCCCCAGACACCATCCTCGGGCCCTTCAATGCATTTGCAGCTGCAGGCAGAGAAAAAAAAGTTGAAGGAGTGCTGAGTATAGGCGCTGGTTGGGGTTACTGCTACAAGCTCCGCATGGCTAGAATTAGGGGGCAGGTGAGAAAATACCTTCTTGAAAGTGAGGCACAGAAGAGTCAATATAGAAATGTCAGTACTTAACCCCTGGGTCAGGAGTAGCCTTAAGATATGGAGTGGAACTGTATTCAAAACCCCATCTAAGAGATGGACATAAAAGAATAATCTTAGGTATGATTTAGCTAACACTGATCATGTGCCAGGTGTCCTCAGACAAGTCCACCCAGAGCCTGGGTTCCTTCCACTGTGTTCCAGGGCAGATGTTTAAAAAGCTGCCATCTAAACACAGGTAGGAGGGCTGAGGCAACATCTGGCAAAGGGCTGTGGTTAATTTTCATGGAATGTAGGAGAGAGAGATTAAATAGTAAGAACAGATCAGTGCGTTTTCCCCTGCAAGGAAGGGGGCCCTAAAACCCAAGAATCCTGGTCTGCATGGCAGGTATACCCCCAGACCAGTGGTTGCAAAAATGTGAACACTGACCACTTTTTTGAAGAAACGGACCCAACTAGGTGCCACCGCTAAAACCTGGATGAGCAGTATTGTGATTATGTCTGCTTTGGCAATAGGCATAAACCACAGTTAAACCACAGTCTGTGGCCTTACTACTGAATGTCTTAAATTTGATCTGCATGAGCTACTTCCTTCTCTTGTTTTCTGAATCTCCTTCCTGTGGCCTCTGGCTGCAGTTCCCTCCTTGTAAGGATTGCCTCTCCTCCTGCCCATGAAGCTGGCCCTGTCTGTTGCATATGTCTTGAGGGCTAATTATGGGAAGCGTGAAGGCCATAAATGCTATGGCTACATCAACACTCAGTGGAGATTTAACTAAATGACACACCACCAATGACCTATTGATAAAATGAAATGGTAAATTATCATTAAAAGGCAAGAATATTCACAATGACAAACAAGGACCATCTCAGGATAACAATGATGGTGCCCTGATAACATGTCCCTCCCCCAGATTTTAGGAACTCTCGTGATCTATATGTGGCACATGCGAATGGAGCTCTGCCCCACTAAGCAGAGGATAGGGCTGCGGGCTTCACAGTAGAAGGCTGATTAAGAATGCTTAATCAAGTCCTGCAATGTGCATTTTTTTTCTTGTATTAATACCAAATTTTACTCACCCTTAAGAACTCATTTGGTGGATTACTGACCAGTAGCTCTTAGTTATCTATAAAGTTTTTGGAATTGTTTATTAGTCACCTGTGAAAATTAAAGAACGTGCCAACATTTTAGGATCAACGTGGTACCCAGCTGGTTTCCCTGGAGCAAATCCTCTGCCCTTCAGTGGAGGGTGCCCCTGCTGTCCTTCGCCCACCATTCCCCAGCAGTTGTCTATTGCTTCTGTCAGGGAGGTGAGCGAGTTCTGCAGTTAGAGGGAGGCCAGGGACTGAGCCTGACTTGGCTTGAGAAAGCACAAGAGGTCTGTGGTGGGACCAGGACCATAGAGGTTTCACCTGCAGTGGGTCTCTCCTCCTACCAGCAGAGGGGTCAAGAAGGCGTGAGTGTTTCCTTGGCCCGGAAAACAGAGCCAGCCCATGGCCAATTGAGATGAGGGCTTCTAGTGGAGAGGCCACAGCAGAATCTGGGCAGTGGGAGGAGATGGGCCATCAGGGGCCACGAAAGGGTCTGCAAAGGCACCTACAAGACTAAGGGCTAGCTCTGAACCTCTGCCAGGCCCGAGAGCTCTAGGCCATCCCATCACCTAGAGCTGGCTGCCTTCTGCCTGTTCTCCCTCCTGCTGCTGAGATAGACAGAAGAGTGAGGAGGAGAAAAGAGAAGGCGGCCAACCCCCCGCCTCCCTTCCTGCCTTCTTGACTGCAGGCCTTGGGTGGATGAGGGGGCATGTCTTTGAATGGAAATGAAAGTGCTGACTGAAAATACTTAACTGGACACTTAATATTATTAAATTTCAAGTGTTTGAAACTTAAAAGACTTAAGTTAGGACTATTATCTATATGTCAGCAGAGAAATCATGGCTGCCTGAGTTTTCATTTGGGGCAGGGGAAGCCTGCTCCTACTGAAAAATTTTAAGGGGGGAAGTGAGAGATTAAAATAAAGAAATGGTGTGGTTAGCACAGGGAATTCCTGCTACCTTTGATTCGTTAAAACTCTGATTTGTTTACAATTTGAAAACAGTTCTTAATCTTTTCTTGGTATTATCATAGCATTTTTGTTTATTCATTCATTCATTCAACAATTATTTGTTGACAATCATTTGTTAAGTATCTAGTTGGGACTATGTTCTAGGTACCAGATACTCTAGGCACACACTCACTACATTCCTCAATGGCTTTTTATTTCCATCAAAATAAAATGCCGACACCACAACATGACACCTGAACCTGATCTATACCTGGCCAGCCTCACCTCACCAGCCTGCCAGGACCCTTAGGGCAGGGACCCTGTCTTTCCTTCATCTGTCCCTAGTACCTGGCACATAGTAGGCCTTCCATAAACGCATTGACGAAATAAGTAAATGTATAGATATAATTTTAATTTACCCACCTAGCTTCTTTGTAGACTCTGAACGCTTTGGAAGGGCAGGGTCTTCGTCTTTATGCCCCTTGTATTGGGCCTGGCACTATGAAAACAGTGACTATTCTAGAAATCATCACATCAGGCATGTGCTCTTGCCTTTCTCAGTCCCCAGGGGCCCAGATCTGACCACTCCCTGGATCTAATGCATGGCCTTGGGTCCCAGGAGAGAAAGTCACGGATATGCTCAGGCTGCCGAGGGGGCACTGATGCCACTGAGGGGCCTGCCGGGGGTCTCCGCAGCCTGGAAGGCTCAGGTCTGGTCTTGCAAGCTCTGTACCTGGGCTGTGTTTGGGACTCACCTTGCAGCAGGCACAGTATGAAGAGGACGGGCATTTTCCATCCAGCCCTCTGGTTGACAACCTGCAAAAAAAACACTGTAAATGAAGAGGACTGAGAGGAGGTAAGTGAGAAGCTGGGGTGAGCAGCAGTGGGACCTGGGACGAGTACCTGCTCACTTCGGGATCTCGGCCTGTTGGGGATGGATTGGATATATGTATGAGCAAGACAGGGGCTGCCCTCTCTGAGAGAAGCAGAACTCCATCCTCAGTCCTAAGTGTGCACATTTGGCTTGCGTCACTGCCAACGGCTAGAATTTCCCCTAGCCTGGCTGTTTCTGTGCTCACACGAGGCCAAACACCCTCTGTAAAATTCCAGCCCCCAAACCCACTTGCCAGCATGGTGTTCTGAACTGGGGTAGCATTGCTTAGTGGAAAGACTACATGCTGGAAGTTTAAACCTTAGCCGGCACTGTGGGTCCTTGGAAAGGTTACTCTGTGTCAGGGATTGGCTTCCTCTCCAGGGGAAAGAGAGAATCCGTATGGACTCGTTGCACAACGTCAATGAGATCGTGTTAGAAGTGCTGACAGTGTGCCTGGTACAGAGCAGCTCCTGTCCCCTTCTCGCCTCACCCCTTCATTTTTGCAGGAGAATCGATTCCTTCGAGAGAAACTTTCTGTTTCCACTGGTAGCATGCAAGTCGGTAACACTGAGTTAGAAACTAACTTGCAGCCCAAGTAGTGGTCTGCTCGAGGGTCCTATTTTGTTCCTTCTCCACAACTTCTAGAAAGCCCTCCCTGCCTGCCCTCCCCTCCCCCCTCCCCCCTGGGTTCACACGGATATTCCCCCCACTCTGGTCTCTCCCACTGGCCTGGGGAGCTCTTGGGGACAGGACTACGTGTCTCATCTGTCACCTCCAGGCTCTGAAGCAGGATCCAGCACAGTGCAGGTGGACCATGCATAGCTATTGTGAACAAGACCCAACCACTCTTTTTATTTATCACGACTCAATGCTCTTTTATTCCTGCTGATGAAAAAAGACAGAAATCGTACATTATACTTCTTTTGTAGGCTCCATAAGGTTTTCATGGATACTTTTGGATTGATTAAAAATCCATTCTTTGAATCTATCTACTGCCTGCAGTTCCTGGGATTTAAAAAAAAAAAAAGGCAAACTGAAGTAGCCGTTGTTTCCTCCTTCCTGCTCTAACACAGAGGGCGCTGATGTTACACACAGGCGCTGACAGTCTGGCCCATGGGCAGGAGCCCCTTGTCCCACTTCTCCAAGTGAACCACAGGAGGCCACTGGCCAATCTGGGATACAGGCTAAAGGAGGAGAAAAGGGGATGGGGGTGGTGGGGAGAAGGCAGAGGAAGTTGCAGAAAGGCGAGAGGAAAGGAAGGGTGAGAAGTGGAAGAAAGGAGAAGGGAAGAGAGGAGAGAATGAGAGAAAAGTAGAGTCCATGGGGGGCCTGTAGCTCTAAGTTGTCACTGCAGCTTGGCTCTGTCCAGCCATCTCCACCAAAGCCTTTGCTGCTCTATGCAGGTAGAGCCCTGAGAGTGGTCAGATTTAGAGAAGTCTACGGGCTCCTCACACCTCCTTCTGTGCCCCCCCCCTTCAGCAACGGCCCTGCCTTGGGCACTGCCATGGCAGCCTTAGGCATTCCCTGCCTTCCAGAGCTTCTGACTTCCTGCCTTCAGCTGGAGGCTCTCCCCAGGTGTGCCTGCACCTAATTCTTTGATTAGTATCAGCACGTCCAGGCTAAATCTGAGGCTGGCACCCAGGTGGGCTAGTTTTTCCGAAGAACTAAGTGCTGACGCAGCACCCGTTGGGGGCCAAAGTCTTCACAACGCATGGCCCGGTTCCTCTGAAGTCCAGGGGGACAGCCATCTCTCCGCCTCGGAGGGGCAATGAGGAAGCACAGAGTGTGAGATAAAATGTCTCCAGAGAGTTATCAGCATTGATTGGAGGCTGCAGGATAACACTCAATAGAATGTCTCCAAGTTTCCCACCCTGCCAATGACCTTCAGAAAACCTTCCTCCAGGACACAGGGAGCCTACCTAGGCCTCTGTAATAGTGAACACAGAGCATTTTTGGGGATGAGGGCCACATCGGGGAACGCTCTTGTCCCTTGGTCCTGTTGGAAAGCGCATGTACTTCAACTTCAGCACAGGCTGGGGTACAACTCCCCAAATCTCGAATGCCCCTCTGAGCCCCACTTCTCTTCTATCCCCCACCCCTGGGACAGAAGACAAGAAGGGGAGGAGCCAGTGTGGTGGAGGCTGACAAGCACACAGGACCAGGACCCAGGAGGTCCTGCCTTGCCTGTGGCTGAGGGAATGACCTTGACCTGTGCATCTTTCCTCTCCATAACAACAGAAGAGCTTTGACTGTATGATTTCCATGCTCCTTTCTCTTTCTAGCATTTGCTGGTTCTAAATTCCTCAGGGTCCTCTAAGGAATCATGCCCTCTGGTGGGAGGGAGAGTAGGATTGAGCAGAAGGGTAAGGAGGTAGGAGGGAGATACTGCGGCCTGAACTCCAGATTCTTCCCTGGTCTCCTGGGAGTGAGCCCAGCTGCTCTGGGGCGGACACTTTGAATGCACGCTTGACAGCTGCTGCTGTAACTCACCCCTCACAATCCACATTCAGAGACAAGACCCCAACCTCTGGGAAGAAAACCTCATCTCACCTTTCGTTCTCCCGGCTTAGCTAGGGCTTCTCCTTCCATCTCACTCTAGAAATAAAGTCCACTTGGACTTTTGCTCTCTTTGCGATGCTAGCAGCTGGACATCTTCTTTTTCTTCTCTTTAAACTTGGAGACTGAGAAGGCAGTATTGATGTGTTGGAAAGCAGCTGGAGTTAGCGCTAGAAGAATTCAGTGCAAGGTCAAGCTCTGCATTCACCTCTCCACAACTTGCGTCCAGTCACTTCACCCTAGGCCTTGGGTTTTATTTCTTATAAGATGGAGCTAGTCCTGGTCCCGTGTTCTTACTGTCATTTATTCCTGCAGAATGTTTCCAGGGTGACAGTAGCTTCAAAGAAAACACATCAATCTATATCCTTCCATCTCTCATTACCCGTCCAGCCTAGGGTCCCAATCTTTTCAGGATGCCCCAGCTCAGCCAGCCCATTCAGGTCTCTCCCAGATAAGTGATGCAACAGCCTGGACGGGAGAAAAAATTCTGAAGAGGAATTCCCCTGTCTGGCTGGCAGCTGGTCCCTTCTAGCTGATCTGGCCCCTTCACCTCCCATGGAGAGGCAGCCTGGGTCACCGACTCCAGTGTGACTGCATACCCTGGACAAAGCACCGAACAGTAAATGAGGTGATCTCCATGGAAAGAGAACACTGAGTGTGGCTTATCCAGATGGATGACACAGTTGAAAAATCCCCCAATATTTCCCTTTGGGAAATATTTCACGGGTGGGTATTTTCCTTGTAAAAGGTAAATTTGCCTACTTCAGCTGGTTTTAAACTGACACAGCCCAAGCACTCAACAGTGGAAGGGCTCCAAGGTGTGGAGGTATAGCAGACCATACATGTTAAGGACTCTCACCAGCACCCCTGACAGACAATGTAGCACCCTCGGGGCCATTCGAAAGGACACTCCTTTCTTAAGAAAAAATAAATTCAGTTGGCACATTGTTGCACAGTTTGAATAACCATAGGTGGCAGCGTGTATCTTCTATATGCATTCCCCCTTCCAGGTTTGAAGACAGGTTAGGGGTAGGACTTGAGTCATTGAAAGCAAGAGGAGAGGGGAAGAAGCAAGTCCACAGATGGCTGGGCTGGGACAAGGCAGTCTAGTGCGTGTGTGTGTGTGTGTGTGTGTGTGTGTGTGTGTGCCAGTGACCATGTGCACAGCTGTGTGTGCTGCTATCCCAGGACATGATCAGGAGCTCCAATCCTGGAGCTCAATATCTTCACAAATGCCTATAGCCTCCCATATGTGTTAGAACACATCTACAACATGAACAGCATCCCGTGAGCTGGGCTGTGGATGAGCAGTGCACAACCCCAAGAACAGAGCATGGTGGCCCTGCCTTCAGAGGCTACCCCTAGAACTGAACGATCCCTGTGCAAGTGGTAGAAAAGGTTAATGTCTGGCTAGACGCTCCCCTCCCAGCTCCCCAGGGAGCAGTATAGCATTGTGGCTAATCACATAGACTTTGGAGTCAGACTACCTCCAAGTTAATATCCCAGCCCTACTTTTTACTGGGCAAGTGATATGGCTCAGATTACTTACTTTCTTTAAACCTTATCCTAATCTGTAAAACAGGAGGTAATAGGTCTTGCATCATCAAGTTATTATGTGGATTAAGTGTGGTAATCCATGTAACGCAAAGTGAATTATAAATTATCAGTAAGCATTAGCTGATAATATTAATAGCTTACAGCAAAAGGGAACTGGTGTTTTGTAATGATCAAACCCAGCGGATAAGAAGGGACTGCTGTATAATGGCATATAGCAGGCGTTTACAACCTCAGCCATCTTGGGGCTGATAGCAAAGATTGCGATCCAGCAGCATTGACACCTCTCTAAACACAGAAGACATTCCAAAGGCAGTCAGGAGAGTGTTGAGATGGTTCAAGTTCACGTATAGGCTGCTGGTAAAAGCACAGAGGAAAGAATCCCAGGAGATCATTTCCAAGATCATAGGAGTAGGTCGTCTAAGACCTCAGCTGTATCTCATCTCAGGATATTGGTATAATTGCTGCAGAAAAACATGACCAATAGCTCTTAGCGTGATCTCTCTGGAGGAACTTGAGTCTGGGGATCAAAATGAATATATTTCTTACTGGTTGGGATTATCTGGTCACAATACTATTTGGAGTAGACATTATCCTCTGATAACAAATCACTGGTCCTTGCAGGATGAAAAGGGGCCCCAAATAATTAACTTGCCACTGAGGAGGCAGTTGGTCTCCTGGAAGAATGGTAAAATGTGGGGGACCTGGTGTTCCTCGGTTGCTGACATGTTGGATGTTCATTAGCAACACTGCTAAAGCCAGCCTCAGTTAGTGGGAGCCTGTGCTCTTTGTGGGAGCCCATGCATAGCCCATCCCTCTGACTGGCTGCTTCCCTCATGTGTCCATTGTGCCAACACCATGCCAGCCAGTGCCTGGGGTTGGCTGACCTCAGATGGCCGAGTCATTTTGTCTGCAGGGTAATTAAGTGTCTCTTCCATGGTGAATACTCTCTAGTGGGCGTTAGTATATAATTCAAACAGCCTCACGCTTCCTGCCTCTCCCATGTCCATCCACATGTCTCTAGCCAATCTTTCCATCTTTCTCCATCCAGGCCTCTCTATAGATTCTAAAAGTAGGCCATTTTTCCTTTCACACAAAGTAGATAACCAGGTACAATGCTCCAAGTTCTGCCTATTGGAACGGCTTTTCCTTTGCCACTGTTTTCCATGGTCACTCCTTGTAACACGCCTCCTGTTCACTTTCAACTTGAACCCATATATTGAACCAACTCATGGATAAGTGAAGCTTGGGTTTTGCCTTCCTCTGACATGTGGGTATAAGGTAGGCACCTAAGTGGCCCTTCTGGGCTGAGGGAGGGGCACTGGTACAGCAGTGGGGGTTGATGTGAGGGGCTGGGCTACTTACTCTCGCAGCTTCTTGTGCCCTCAAGTCCTTATTGTGCTCAGTCTCAGCTGTACCACTCAAATTTATGATAAATTGCTGCTGGCCTGCTGGACCTGTGACTCAATGGGTATACTAGCTCTCAGCTCATGATGGACAGTTCTAGATGCACACGCACCTGCTGTCCTGTGTTCAGGTATTCTGTCTCCACCAGGGCCTAGTATCAGGCCAGGAGTTGTTTTTCAAAAGACACACAATTCTCCCTTGCAGATGGCATGGCCTTACAAAAGAGCCACTGGAGACTAGGTTGTCATTTTCCCACTGAGGCTTGCCATAAGCTCCACATAGCGCCTTCTCTCAACACCCACACCTGTAATATGAAGTGGCAGTGCTGCTTCCATCACAGCCTGGGCCTGCTACACAGCCCTCTCCTGCTCTGGGCTCCAACCAAAGGTAGAAGCATTTCATGCCGCTTGGAGTGTGGGCTAGAGTAGTATTTCCAGGTGTGGAATATGCTGCCTCCAGTACCAAGGAGGCCGATCAGCTATGTTGCTTTCTTTATTATGATGGGAGGTACAAGATGTAATAGTTTGTCTTTGACTTGGAACGAGATTTCCAGAGGAGCTCCTGATCACTGGACCCCTAAAAATGAATATTGCTGATGTGGCAGTCCCCTGAATCTTCATAGGGTTCACCTTCCATCCTCTGAGGCACGTGTGTCTTACTATGGCCTCCAACATGCTGGCCACATCTTGTTCAAATGGCCTGATTAGCATCATATCATAAATAATGGATCGATGTGACATTCTTCAGGATGTCCAGATGGTTCAGATCCCTTTGGATTGTATTATGACAGAAGGCAGGGGAGTTGATATAGCCTTGGGACAAAATTGTAACTACATGCTATCATTCATCCATAGAAATGCAAATAGTCTCTAATCTTATTTGAAGGGAATAGCAAAGAATGAATTCACCCAGTCAAGGCTGCAGACTTTGTGGCTGAGGACATGTCAATCTGCTGTAAAGTAGCCCCCCTTATCTGCGGGAGAAAGGGAGGAAGATAAATCCCAAGACCCCTAGTGGATGCCTGAAATTGGCGCTAGTACCAAACCCTATATATACTATATTTTTTCCTATGCATGAATACCTATGATATAGTTTAATTTATAAATTAGGCACAATAAGAGATTAACAACAATAATTAATTATAAAATAGAACAATTATAACAATATACTATAATAAGAGTTATGTGAATGTGGTCTCTCTCTTTCTCTCAAAATATCTAGTGCTGTATTTACCTTTTCATTTAAAGAACGCACATTAAGTTTTCTTTTTAGCATATCCGAATTGCCAGCATCACAACTCTCGTGCTTTGGGGCCATTATAAAATAAAATAGGGTTACTTGAACACAAGCACAATGATATTGTGACAGTCGATCTGATAATCCAGCCAGCTGCTAAATGACTTTATGGACAGGCAGGGTCTACAGCATAGAGATGCTGGAGGGATGATTCACCTCCTGGACAGATGGAGCAAGACAGTGAGAGATTTCATCACACTACTCAAAATGATGCACCATTTAAAATATATGACTTGCTTATTTCTAGAAGTTTCCATTGAGTATTTTCAAACCGGGGTTCACTGCAGATAACTGAAATCGTGGAAAGCGAAACCACAGGTAAATGGGAGGGGGAACCACTGTAGTATATAAACAGACACAGTGGTTGCAATTGGGGCTAATATTTGGTTAAACTTACAGTCATTCATTGCCATCCCCCAGGGTGCCCTCAGGTTCTGCAGGGGCCAAGTATTGAATTGAATGGAGCTATTATGGGAATAACCATTCTGCATCCTTTAGATCTGCAAGGGTGGTACTAATAACAATTTTACCCACCATGCAACATTGCTTTGTATTTATTATCTTGGCTGGGGTGAGGCGGTTTCAGGGGCTTCCTCTTGGATAACCCCATTATGATAGCTATTACTCCACAAGCCTAAGACCCAATGATCCAAGTAACAAGTACGTCAATCCCACTTATACATTCAGGGGCTGGAGAAATTACCACTGGGTGTATCTGCAGACTCAGTGGGCACACTGTAAGCCAGACCTTGGTCAGGACTTTACTACCTGGCTGCATATGTCCCACTAGCTAGAAAAGGGGGGCCATGATGATGCTCTGGTTCTCTGGTATCATTTCAGCTTGGATTCTGTGTCCAACAGTCCTCAGAACATTTGGGAATCTTTTTTTTCCCCAGTGTACAGTTACCCAAATAAACGACCCTGGATCCCTGCGGGAAAGACTCATTGAATCATTACCGTGTATGTTTGCTGTGGTGTTACAGGGTGTTTTCTCCTGGGGACCTGGATGAATATGAGAAAACTGGCCCAGGTCCAGAAAATGGGC